AAGAAATACTGAACCGAGTAACAAATTTTAATGAAATTTTATTTGAGGCCATTTACTTTTGTGATATGAATATATTAAAGTTTTTTTAGTTTGCTTAAATCCTTACATATCTTTATAAATTCGGTAAGATCAATAATAGTAATCTTGTTAATGTTTTGTTGAATTTGCTTTTATAAATAACTTTTATTGAAATCTAAGAAATACACTTAACCTTTTTAAATAATAGTAAGTAAATAAATTGTAAAATAATTATTAATTTAGAAAATGGAATGATCCACTCAATATTGAATATATTTAAAATTGTGCATAAATTGTTTTTATGGTGGCCAATAAAATCAAGAAAAGAATTCTTTCTCAAAAACTAGTTGTATTATTTTATCATGGTCATGGAACTTAGAAAATTATTTTGCCTTTTGTTAGCATACATATGAAGAACTTTCAATAATATGAAGGGGGAAAAATTTATTTATTCATCCTAATTACGATATTTTTTAAAAAATATTTTTAAATATAAATATAAAATATTAAAAATAAAAAAATATACTTTTTAGCTTAAAAATATTTTTGAGTGCTTAAAAAGTACTTAAAAGTTGCTTATTTTTTGTTAAAAAATTTGGCTATGCACCCTGTCTACGGCTCAATCTTAATGGTTCGATGAGGTGACTTCAAATATGATAATTAATTAGTGCAGGTGATATTTTAACTTCAATCAATATCAATCGAAATCAGAATCAAAAACGTACTTCTCTAAATAAACATAAAATTTTTTTTATGGTTCCGGATTACTGTTCCTCAAAATATAGGGAATAGCCTCACTCTAAGAAATATGGTACCCATAGATTGGGCTAGAGAGCGATCTAAAGTTTGAACCCCTTAACGTTAATTTTTTCTTTTCGGTTCGAAAACTTATTTAGCGAATTGAAAAATTTTTGCTCACAATTATAAAAATCGTTTATCCAAAGAATTAAATTATGTAATTTTAGATGGCAAAATGTAAGCCAAATCGGTCCAATAGTGCCTAAATAAATCGAATTTTAAATACATGATTTTTTCAAAACTCCTTTTCTCAAGAACTATTCGACCAGTCTCGCTCAAATTTCTTATTTTGCCATGTAAAATTACATTCTTTAAAATGATGTAAAAAATTGTATACCGTACTTCTCACATTTTTTTCGATTGTTATTAAATAAAATAATAAATAATATAAGAAATTTAATTTTTGCGTGGTATTATCTTTGGATAAAAGAATTCGTTAATTTTGTGCAAATTTTTTAAAAATTTGTTCGGGATATTGCGAAATACGCAAAAAGTAAAATTAACATTAAGGGGTCCAAACTTTGAATCGCTCTTCTGACCTTCTTCTCATCTTTTCGGGGTAACCATCCGATAAATTAAGATCTGATCATTAAATCAAAAGTTATTTAGGGTGGTCCGTTTATTTTTTGCGCTCTGTACATATATCAACAAATCAAACAGTTTAGTCATGGCATGGATTTATACACTCGGACACTATACATTTTATAATATAAAATCTGAAATTTTTTTTCCCAGACGAAATTTTTTTTGTTGAATTATTGAGGGAAATACCTTGAATATATATATATATATTCTCAATTATTTATTTTATTTAAATAAGCATGCATTTTCCTTCGAACATTTAAAAACCAGTCCACTCACACTATTAAAAAAATTCCGACTTTTTTTATGAAACATTATAAGCTTGTAAGTGATGAAGGTCGCATTTGTCTTCTCCAGCTTATTAAAAGTTAAATATAGGAAACAAAACGTTCTCCCTATTGTGTTTTAAACTCGAAATATTATCTCTCTTAAAAATGAATTGTTTTTACTAATGTGTTAAGAAGCTCTGGTCTACAGCGATTTTAAATTTGGAATTATGGAGGCTTTCACGGTAGTTATAATTACCGTGAAAGAATCTATAGAAATAACCTATAGAATCAAATAAAAAAACATTAAAATTAATGATCGAAGAAAAAATGATTAGGCTTATATGATAAGCAGTCTCATAAATTATTCTATTCCAGAAAATAAATTTTTTCCACAAATAAAATTTAAAAATATGAATTTAATACGGAATTTGATAAAGGCATCATGCTATTTTTGGTTGAACTTTATAGACTAGCTTTATAGACCGTATGAGATTCATTCAAAAATTATTTTTAAAAAAATTTAAAAACACACATTATAAACGAATAATGACATTAAACTAGTGTAGTAGATTAACATTAGCCATAATTACAGCTGGTTGCTGGTTGCATCATAAAATAGTACCAAAAAAGTAACTAAATTAAATTGAAATTAAAATGCATTTTATATCTTAAAATATCAGACGGCTTATAACGATAGTGGTTGCGAAATAAAGAAAAATGCACATTTTTCTATTTTAGCTTTATAAATTCCACTTTCCGCTAACAGAGCTACCTAAACTCGCGTGGAAAATGATAACAAGATAAGTTTCAACTCAGATGAAAAAATTGAACATTATGAATGACTCAGTTTAATAAAAATATCTGTTCAAGAAAATATATCTCTTAATCTTGAAGTATTTTTTCAACTCGTTCATCTTTAGCATAGCTGATGAATTACATGAAAAAGTTATTTAACGAACGCACCCAACTTCACTCGGTCTGAGTAAAGAAATTGCGAGCACCGAAGCAATAGTTTTCGTCTGCATTATCGCAGTGTTGCCAGATTGGGCTACAAGTAGCGGATTGGGCTACTTTTAAAAGTCCCCGCTACTGAAAATTGAATTTTCGCTACTTGCTACTTTTTGGGCTACTTATTATTTTTCGAACGCTACAAATCTTAAATTTGCGCTACTTTTTTTCCTTACTGAAATATATTTATATTTTTTAATTTTTTCCCTTCTCATTATAAAATGATTCTGAAAGTTTGCAGCTTCTTTATCATTTTTAAAAAGGACATTTTTGTTGTTGTTTAAAACGTTCTCGCTTCAGTTTTGGATTCTTAATATGTTTCACTGATGGAGTCTGTAATCTTTCCTATGTTTATGTTTCAAATCGTAGACTCGGGAAATCGCAAAGATAAATATGGAAAAATGCACGGAGAGTATGATGGGGAAAATGTTTCTTAACTCCAACTATTATTAATCGTTTATCTTCTCGAGAAAAAAAATCACGTTACTCGCTTTGAAACTCAGAAAAATTAAATCCAAAGTCATTAAACCTGATGAATGAAAATAGTTGTTGTGAATGACAGTGAGTTTCCAAAAAATTTCGTACTGTTAAATGCTTTTTAGTGAATTCATTTCACTTTTGTAAATCACCATCTATTCACAGTTGCACGAAAAATAGGAAACTTTTTATATCTCTCTAGAGCTTAGATTTGCCCGTTGTAAATGCTGAAATAATTTTTTTTTAAAGGATGTATTGCTATGGTTACAGTTATTATTTTTCACCTCATTTTGCCAAATATGCAATAAATAAATGAAACAAATAAAAATGAAGTTTTGGATAGTTATCATATTAAAATAAAATTCGTTTACCAAACGCAAATGATAATCAGAATTGGCATCAAGGAGAACGACATGAAGAAATATTTCATAGAAGGCCAAGGCCCATCCAATGATGACGATGAAACGCAAAAGATGGATTTCGTTTTTAAAACAAAAATATATACTATGGAATTTCAAATAATAATTAACTATAACAATGAAATTATGAATAAAAATGACTAAGTTAATTTAAACATAATGCACTTAGGGATCAGGAAAATTGAATAACGACAATTTTTTTAATTCGAAAATGTCAACATTTTAAACCTTTCGAAACATTTATAGTAATTGCAAAATAACTAGGAAAGATAATTACTTTAAATGATAAACACGGTAATGTATATGCTGCGTGTTATAAAAGGAGTTTAGAAAATTATTAAAGCTACTACAGTGAAACTATCGTAAACTGATCAGAAGTGGAACTACAATTTGATGGTTTTATAAGAGAAGTCATCTTATAAAAATGATAATAAATTGTTTTTACCAGTTTTGCACTTGATCATCAAAATCTTAGATAGGTGATTAACTTATAGAGATGGTCAACTTAACAGGTTTCACTGTGCAAGTAAAGTAAGCACAGCAACTAAGGCGAGCTGCGAGAAAAGAAAATATTTACGAGCATTTAGTGCAAATCTATCTTTTTATCATTGTTTTTTTTTAAACTTTACAACAGATGTTACGGCTACTATAAATGAAAAAAAAATTAGTTAAAAATATTTGTTGCTTCGTAGACGCTTTAAAATACTGTTTCATACGTGGTCCAAATCAAAATATTCATTTGTTCACTAAATTACTATCAAAACTATTCTCAATCGAGTTTGAAACAATTATTGATGCTGTTACAAAGAAAAGCAAAGTCATATTTCTCATCTGCGAGCTGAATGTTTGTACTTTGTATTGTTTCGAACTTCAGAGCAGAAATGATTAAATAAATTATTTTGCTTATCAAAAAAAGATTTTTTGCCTTTTATTTTTAAATACACACAGATGTAGGCCCATGAAGTTGAACTTTTCTGAATTTCTTGTTGGAGATTGGGTCCTAGTTAGGTCTTATTTTTAATTTCCTCGAAACGCGAGATAATTTTTATTAAAAAAAAATTAGCTAGTGAGAACATTTTTATGTGCGAGTAATTAAGGTTCTTGAGGTTGGGGAACGAAGCGAGCTGAGGTCGAAACCTCTTAGTATTCTTATGCAGCTCAAAGACCGCACCAACATTAAAATATCGAAGACAGTTCCGACTGATTTTTACACATAAAAAAGCTTTAAAAAAACGAGCTATCCAATGTTATTAATAATTTTAGTGTTTTCTGGCAAACGGCGCTGTTTTACAGAAATATAGCCAAATAAATTAGAGCACTCAAAACATGGCAAACTTTGCACTTTATTTATGCTGTGATATTAATTTTGTTAATATATATATANGTATTTTTTCAACTCGTTCATCTTTAGCATAGCTGATGAATTACATGAAAAAGTTATTTAACGAACGCACCCAACTTCACTCAGTCTGAGTAAAGAAATTGCGAGCACCGAAGCAATAGTTTTCGTCTGCATTATCGTGTTTATTATTTGATTTGCCTTGTGTTATGTTTTTGATTACGGTAATCTAATTTCTGAAATAATGCCTTATCACTTTAGGAAGTTAAGCAAAATTGCAATGACTTTTTTATGTAATTGTGTTCAGTAATAACTCGTGATTTTGCGATCTCTCGGCGTTTTATATATGGAGAAAACATGCCGAGATAATATTAATTATCTGATAGCAATGGTTTTTGCGTAGTTATGTCACAACACTTAAAACAAATGAACTTTTCATTCTGATTTGATTGCATTTATGTCTTATTTCATGCAATACTTGAAATTTTATAAATAAATTATTGAAAAAACTGATCTTGTAAAGTTATTTTGCAAAAGCAAATTTTAAATAATCATGAAGATTTTTTTAGTTTCATTAACTGTTTGTTTAAGTTTTCATATTTATCATTGTGAAAATTTGCCTGAACTGAAATTTTACAAAACCTATGATGTTGTGCAACTGGGACAAAGAATTTTTGAAGATTTACAATCTTCAAATACTTTAAGAAACAATTCAGAGTTTTTAGAAGATATTCATACTGCAGGACCGTTTGAATTTGATCCTAAGTTGCTGAAGGATATTTTCACAAATGCATCGTCTAGATGTCTTCACGATTTAGAGTATTTTGTGGACAATTTGAATACCACAGATTTTAGGAAGATACTAAGTTCATGGGCTTTTCAAAGTATGAACACAATTTTCTATAATTTTTTTCTTCCTTTTTTTATTTTGTCTATTATAATTTTTTTAAAAATAAATTTACTCTTCATATCTACCAACATTTATGAGTTGTATTTGGAGGAGTCTTAAACAGTTTTAATTTACTTTTCATATTAACCCATATATTTCTTACTTTTTATTTTCTAACTCTTCAAACAATTATTAAAAAACTGAACTGAATTTATTTTTTTGTGACCATTGTTGAACAGCTGACCCAATTTTGAGTTTACGACTACCAATGTTCAAATTTGAACCTAATCCAGAAGACAAGGGAACTCCTAGATCAAGTATTGGGAGAAATTTTGCCTCTGTGGAGGCTTTTTAATGTAACTAACCCACATTTGCATTACATGGAGAGGAAAACCATACAAATCTCCCACAGTTAGCATGACGGCAAGGGGACTCTAACTCATGATCTGTCTACCAATGAGGATATTATACGTCAGCACTGTGGTTAGTGCGATCATGTGAGGAATTTGTATTGATCAGCCATGGCTGGGATTTGAACCCAGTTCACCTCATTGGGAGGTGATTATTTCTTGAGCTATGAAGGCTCAAGAAATTTTATTTGATATAGTATTGATGTAAATTGATACAATATAATATTTTCAAATCTCATATGACCCTTATTATTGCTACTTTTTGGTTAGCTAAGCACAGGTAAATTCAATATTTTTTAAAAACTTCTTTATTAATTTTTTAAGCACAAGCAAAATAGACACTTCTTTAAAAAACGTATAAAAATGAATAAAAAATAAATCATTGTTGAATGTACTTACGCTTATTTAATCAAAAAGTGTCAATTGATTTTACAATACATTTTATTTCCATTTTTCTGATACAATTTTAAAACAACATTGTTTTAAAATTGTCACCTGTAGCACAGAAATAGAATAATGTAAATCAATTAATAAATGCAATAATAAAATATAGCTTATTGAACTTTCAAAGTCAAATAAAACTTTGAAACTTACATATGTTATAGTTGTATTTAGTTTTTGAGTATTTTTATGTGATAGAATTTCTTTTCTATATTTATTGAAAAGTGAGTTCTTTTCCATTTTGCTGGCACAAGTAAATTCAGCTACTTTATTTATCTATTTATTTATTTCAAATTTTTCAAAACTAACTGTAACAAGTAATCATGACCTAAAAAAATAATAAAAATAGTGAAAATAAAAAAAGTTGAATTTACTTGAGTCCGGTGACTTTACATTGCTAACTTTATCACCTGCATCGGAAAAATGAAAAAGTGCCAAAAAGGGTAATGTTTTTGTGTTAACTATTTCCTTTCAGAATGATGATCCAAAATTTCAAGGTGTTTTTTTCCCAAAGCTATCTTTGTAACTATGAAACTGAGAGAAATATTCTTATATAATCCTATGCAGAGTATGGAAGAGTTTTATTTGTAAAAAAAATTCCTTCGATAAAGTATAAAAATAAAAACAGAAAATACTTCCTAGTTTTTAGCATTCTTAACCCTTTAACACAGATGGGGCACCAGTTACGTTCTAGATATTTTTTTTTTATGCTCTAATTAGAAGCAAAATTACATTTTGTCATTTTTTTTCTTTTTCATTTATGTTCAAAAATTTATTAATAATTGATTTTGTAAACTAAAGACATTTCAATGAGGTATTACTGTTTCACTTAGATCTAAATAACTACAAATAAGTGCAAATTTGAAAAATTATTGTCAGGAAGTTTTTGGAAAATTGTTCCAACTCTGAGATCTAGAGAAACTCTTCCTACTATTGTGAAGAATTTCATTTGATTGTTTCTCTTTTTCGTTATTTATTTTAAACACAGATGGCTCTGGTAAAAGTTTTGAAGATTTTTTTATCTACCAAGTTTGTAACTCTTTACCTGGTGCAGGGCTCTAGGCCATTCAAGTTTTTGGGGCCCTTACATAAAATGTTTTTCTCATATATTTTTTATTTATTCAAATATAAAAGTATTTATATATCTTTTCATTTAAGAAAGCATATTTAAAATAAAAATAAATAATAATAAATTAAATTTTACTTTATTATATTAAATTGGAACTAAAAAATAATCATAAGATTTTGAAAAATCATTGTTTTTCTTAATTTCTTTTAAAATTTATTTTCAAAAAATCCATTTTAAGGGGACCCCAGGCCATGGCCTAGTCTGGCCTAATGGGTAATCCAGCCCTGACCTGGTGCTAGGATTATTCTGCAGCTGACTAAAATAGTCGAGTGGTAGCAGTAAAAGAAATTCTTCTTTTTCCAAAATATAGCCATGAAATTATTCCAGCTGTGGCAAAAAAAATATTCTGTTTTATTTTTTTATTTATTTTTTTTTTTTACAAATGATTCAAGTTATCAATTTTTTTTCAGTGGTTGATGCATATGGAAAGCCTGAAAGTGGCATTGTTCTAGGTAATTTCAAATGGCTTGGTGACTTTGATGAATGCAAAAAAGTATATGTTCCGAAGGAAAACTCAAGTGATGAGGGAGGGTTTTACGGAAAGTATTGTGGTTTACAAATACCTATCGGTTCTCAGGTGAAATGTTTTAATGATATTTTGAAAAAGAATTTTTGAAATGAGATAATAAATGTAAAATGATAAAAGTGTTCTGTTTGCAGTTAGTTGCGCTGTCTATGGGGCTGTGTGTGCCTGATTCATGTGGTGGTTTCGATTTGAAGAATGGTATAATGGAATTTATTCATACCATAAGTGAGTATATCAATGCTGCAACTTCTTGATTTTTGGGAATAAATATTTTATATTTATGATAATTTTAATTTATTATTTATGGTAAAAAAATTTAATATTTGCTTTTAAATTCTTGATTTAATAAATGAAATCTAAATTATCTTCACCATTACTTCTATGAATAAATTAAACTACAGTATTGAGTCCCATATTCAGACATCCATTTTGCAGACATCCCTTTTAACCAATTTTTCAATCCTTTTTTTTTAAAAAAAAAATTCAGGATTTTTTCTGGATTTTTCCATTTTTATATGCTTGTGGTATATTTCCAAAATCCTAATTTTTTTCCTATTTCCTCTTGCCAATGTTTAGAATAGTTAAGCATTTCATGTTTTCATGAGCACACTTCAGGAGTTGTTGAAAAGATAAGAGAAGTAAAAAAAAAAAAAAAAAAAAAAAAAAAANAAAAAAAAAAAAAAAAAAAAAAAAAAAAAAAAAAAAAAAAAAAAAAAAAAAAACATAAACTTTAGTAAGTAGAATAAACTATGAATATTAAAGAAATTTGAATATTAATAATATTTGAAAGAAACACTTGCAAATAGGCTTTATTTGGGTTTAAATTATAAATGTTTTTATTAAAAATCTACTAATTCTAATTCTTGTTTGATAATATTTGTTTTTTATTAAATAGGATAATTTTTTTTTTTTTTTTACATTTTGAAGTTTGCTTTTTAATTAATTTTTATCTGAATATTTGTGTTACTAGTTCTTCATGTTAAATATTAGGAAAAAAAAAAGATAGCGAGAGAAATAGAGAACATGTCTTTATTCATGAAGTTCAACTTATCCTCTGCTTACTTTTTAATTTTTTTAAAAATATTTTATACATGTGAATTTATTTTTATTTAAAAAGTGAATCCTTAGTAAAGCGAACTTTTTTGGAACCAAATAAATTGTTCGCTTATGAGAGTTTTTCGTTTAAGGGCAGGGTGCACTAATAATGAAAGCTAATGCCATAAATTGTTTTGAGAATAATTGCTATGAAATAGAAATAATTCAAATAATTAAATAATCTATAATAACTATTAACTATATTTATTTAAATTTAACAAAATTATATTGTTTACGGTACAAAAAAAAAATAGATGAAGAAATTTTATATTCATGTCTTGCTTTAAATTTATCCATTTGAAGAGAAAAATGTGATTGTGATGTGTGAATTGTTTTAAATGGCACTTTATCTTTATGGTACATTTTCAAATCATGTAGCATTCTTACATCAATTTTATCACTTTTGGATGGATAAATATGTCTCAATCCCTCAATACAAGTTAGAGCATCATGTGAAGTTTTCAGTTTTAATTCTTTTCAAAGTTGCGAAAAATCTGTTTTTTATTTCCTTTCCTAAAAAAAAAAAAAAAAAAAAGTTTATAAANAAAAAAATAAAAAAAAAAAAAGATAAATAAATAATAATAAAAAAATAAATAAATAAATAAATTGTTAACAAAATTTTTTTGGAACTTCCCAACAAAATGAAGAAATGTTTGAATTATACCTAACCTAATATTTGTAATTCATTACTAATTTGCCTGTGTTTCCTTTAACATTTTTATTACATCTTAAGATTTATTTATAGTCCTAGTTTTTTTATCAGTTTGTATGAAATATAGTATAATTAATAATTTTGTGCTAATAAAAGATTCAAGCTAGTGCTTGATAAAATATCTATAGCTATATTTTTTTCCCTTCAAACAAATTGACATTACGTTTAAATCATACTTGTAATGTTCACAAGCTTAAAAATGCGAAAGTTGTTTATGATAATGCTTATAACTAATTAATTTAGATTTATTTGGAATATTTAATAGTTATGATTTCAGACAGATTGAGTATCATTTCCTTAGCAAAAATGGTTTTGTCATAATTGTATTACATCTTTATCTAAATATATGGAACTTTTTTGTTTAATCAAAGCTCCTAACATGTTTTTTTCACATTTTTAGAGATTCTTCCTTACAAGAAAAAAATAGAAACAGTGATGAATTCCACAGCAATAACTTGTCATGCTAACTCAAGAGAACTCACAAATGGAGCTATAGCCACCATGTAAGTTATTGCAAATTGCTACTATGTGTACTATTTTATTTAACCATATTCTTATTTTGTAACGAAACTTAGCCTAAATAACTATCTAATAAATTTTTTTTTCTACTTTTTTTTTCTTAAAATTTGGTCTGGTCTGGTTAACATATAAAATATTCGAAATTTTAGTCTAAAATTTATTCAAATCTTTGAAATTTTTAAAAAATAAATAATTTTGGAAAAAAATGTAGCTTACTTTAAAAATTAAAATAAAAAAATTATTTTTAATTGTACTGGTTCTAGAGTAATTTGAATCCCATCAGTAGCTATGTACAGTGCACAAAAAAAGGACCACTCTAAATAACTTTTGATCTAATGATGTGATCTTCACACTAGGATGCAATCCTAATGGTTTAAAGGGGTGACCTCAAATATGCTAATTTATTAGTGCAGATGCAGGGGTCTATCCAGGGTATATTTACTACCGTTTAGCGGTACCTTCACAAACTCAACTTTAAGAAAACGGCAGTTTTATGAAATACTTTTAATAAAGCAAGTTCTCATGGAAACCCGGTTCTCGTTGCAATCTAGGAAATAGAGGAGCACTTTTGCCAGATGTCTTTCACAAAAAAGTAGCACATGTTTGGTTAGATAGTGTAATGTGGTAAACCTAACCTTTCGCTCACGCCATATCAAAGCTAGCATTTTTTTTAGCGGAGTTTTTTAAAATGAAACAACGAGGGTCTCCCTCAGTAAACTTTACAGGAAGTCAAAATTCGGATATTATTCTAAACATTTAAATATAATAAACACTATTGTAAATTTATTCTAACAGACCTTTATTTTTTATGAAACATTTTTTTTCTCTGTGAAACTTTTTTCTGTATGACCTAGTCGAAAATGTTCTCATAATGAAAATAACTTATATTACTGTTAAATGCATGTTTTTATTAAATTCAAGTTGAAATTTAACTATGGACAATAATTTTTATGGAATTTTAAATTTGGATGCAATTTTAAGCCCACAATTTTTCAATAGCAAAATTTTCTTTTTTATAAGCAGAAATTTTCCTGCCATAAATAATTTTTATTTGAAGTGAAAATTTTTGAAAATATTTTCTTACTTTATCATATTTTTGTGTTGATATTTTAATATAATTTTTAACTTTCACAAATTATGTCTAAATTTTCACAAAATATGTACCTCTCAAAAAAACCCAGACAGACCCTTGAGATGATATTTTAAGTTACGAAATCAGATGCAAAAACGCAATTTCTCTGAATAAACATGCCTTTTTTTTGACAGATTTAGATTTCAGATCCTTAAAATATGGTCTCCATAATTTTGTCAAGAAAGCAATCTAAAGTTTGAACCTCATAATGTTTTTATTTTTATTTTTTGCGAATTAAAAATTTTTTGCTCACAATTATAAAATTCGTTTATCCAAAGATAATTCCATGCAAAAAAAAAATTTTAGTTAATATTTATTATTATTTTATTTAATAATAGTTAAAAAATTTTGAATTGTAAGAAATAATTTTTTTTTAATATCAATTTAACGTAAGTAACTTAAGTAAGCAAAATACAAAATTTGAGCAACATAAGATTTTACTCATCAATTGCTCTATTGAAAAGACTGCTGGAATGGGAGATAGTTTTGAAAAAAGAAAACTGTATTTATAAACAATTATAAATCAAAAATTTTTATAAAAATTGTGCAAATAATAATGCTAATTGTGGAAAATGGGGTTCAAAAAAGTAATGGAACTATTGTATTGCTTCTTATACAATGATGACCTGCAATCTATGAGTGTTCCATTTTACACAGTGTAATCTTATAAAGTATTTCATATTCCAATTAAACCTATTTGATTAGTCTCTTCAATGCTGCAAGACACAAAGATGAGATTGCAGTTGCAAAGTAGTTTTTCAGTGATTTTTTAATGTGTCCAACGGCATCATGCGGGGTGATGCTTTGGCTTTCCTCATTTTCAACATTGGGCTAAAAAAAGTTGTTAGATATGCCAGAATCAATACAAAGAATAACATACTGAATAAATTGGTACAGATCAAAATCATTGCCTATGCTGAAAATATAGACATAATTGCTAGAAACAAGGATGATATGAAAAATAAATTTTTGGTTTTTCAAATACAAGCAAAAAAATTGAATTTACATGTTTATGCTGCAAAAACGAAATATATGTCATTTACTAAAAGGTCCAACAATGATACCTTTATAGAGTGTGGAGCTTATGAGTTTAAAAAAAATAGCTTTGGAAATATCTTAAACAAACATTTTATACATCTAGAATCAAATCAGAAATTAATACATCCAATGATGTAAATCCAATGAAAAATTAATACATTTCAGAGGTTCAAAAAAGAATTATTGCATCTGATAAATATTTTTTGTTGTCCATTTTTGAAAAGAAAATACTAAGTATTCCAAAAGAAATGCAAAATAATGGTATTANTTCAGGATTTTTTCTGGAGTTTTCCATTTTTATATGCTTGTGGTATGTTTCCAAAATCCTAAATACTAATTTTTTTCCTATTTTCTCTTGCCAATGTTTAGAATAGTTAAGCATTTCATGTTTTCATGAGCACACTTCATGATTTATTTCTATTTGGATTACTTAATAGTTATGATTTCAGACAGATTGATTATCATTTCCTTAGCAAAAATGGTTTTGTCATAATTGTATTACATCTTTATCTAAATATATGGAACTTTTTTGTTTAATCAAAGCTCCTAACATGTTTTTTTCACATTTTTAGAGATTCTTCCTTACAAGAAAAAAATAGAAACAGTGATGAATTCCACAGCAATAACTTGTCATGCTAACTCAAGAGAACTCACAAATGGAGCTATAGCCACCATGTAAGTTATTGCAAATTGCTACTATGTGTACTATTTTATTTAACCATATTCTTATTTTGTAACGAAACTTAGCCTAAATCCTCCCTCTATAAACTTTACAGGAAGTCAAAATTCGAATATAATTCTAAACATTTGAACATTATAAACACTATTGTAAATTTATTTTAACAGACCTTTATTTTTTATGAAATTTTTTTTTTCTCTGTAAAACTTTTTTCTGTATGACCTAATCGAAAATGTTCTCATAATGAAAATAACTTTTAGTGCTAGTACTGTTAAATGCATGTTTTTAATAAATTCAAGTTGAAATTTAACTATGGACAGTAATTTTTATGGAATTTTAAATTTGGATGCAATTTTAAGCCCACAATTTTACAATAGCAAAATTATCTTTTTTATATGGGGAAAAATATGCAGAAATTTACCTGTCATAAATGATTTTTATTTAAAGTGACTATTTTGGAAAATATTTTCTTACTTTATCATATTTTTGTGTTGATTTTTTAATATAATTTTTAATTTTCACTAATTATGTCTAAATTTTCACAAAATAGGTACCTCTCAAAAAAACCCAGACAGACCCTTGAGATGATATTTTAAGTTACAAAATCAGATGTAAAAGCGCAATTTCTCTGACTGAACATGCCTTTTTTTTGACAGATTTAGATTTCAGATCCTTAAAATATGGTCTCCATAATTTGGTCAAGAGAGCAATCCAAAGTTTGAACCTCATAATGTTTTTATTTTTATTTTTTGCGAATTAAAAATTTTTTACTCTCAATTATAAAATTCGTTTATCCAAAGATAATTCCATACAAAAAATAAATTTTAGTTAATATTTATTATTATTTTATATAATAATAGTTAGAAAAATTTTGAATTGTAAGAAATACATTTTTTTTTAATATCAATTTAACGTAAGTGACTTAAGTAAGCAAAATACAAAATTTGAGCAACGTAAGATTTTACTCATCAATTGCTATATTGAAGTGACTGCTTTAATGGGAGATAGTTTTGAAGAAAGAAAACTGTATTTATAAACAATTTTAAATCAAAAATGTTTATAAAAATTATTCAAATGACAATGCTAATTGTAAGAAATGGGGACCAAAGTAACGAAACTATTGTATTACTTCTTATACAATGATCTGCAATCTATGAATGTTCCATTTTATACTCTGTAATCTTATAAAGGATTTCTTATTCCAATTAAACCTATTCGAATTGTCTCTTCAATGCTGCAAGACATAAAGATGAGAGAGCAGTAGCAAAGTAGTTTTTCTGTGTCTTTTGATGTGTCCAACGGCGTTATGCGGGGTGATGCTTTGGCTTGCCTCATTTTCAACATTGGGCTTAAAAAAGTTGTTAGATATGCCGGAATCAATGCAAAGAGTAACATACTGAATAAATCGGTACAGATCATGGCCTATGCTGAAAATATCGGCGTAATTACTAGAAACAAGGATATGAAAAAGAATTTTTTGGTTTTTCAAATACAAGCAAAAAAAAAAAAAAAAATGAATTTACATGTTTATGCTGCAAAAACAAAATATATGTCATTTACTAAAAGGTCTAATAAAGATACCTTTATAGAGTGTGGAGCTTATGAGTTTGAAAAAAATAGCTTTGGAAATATCTTATAGAAACATTTTATACATCTAGAATCAAATCAGAAATTAATACATCCAATGATGTAAATCCAATGAGAAATTAATACATTTCAGAGGTTCAAAAAAGAATTATTGCAGCTAATAAATAATTTTTTTGTCCATTTTCTAAAAAAGAAAATACTCTGAAGTATTCCAAAAGAAATACAAACTAATGGTATTTAATACAAATTCACAATTGTATAAGTGCTATAAAGAACTAGATTTTTTATTTTATTTTATAACCATCATTGGACTGCTGACCCAATTAGCCTTGTAATTTTGAACTAATCCAGAAGACAAGGAAACTACTGGATCAGTATCCCCAGAGGTATTGATTTGTTTTGGGAGCATGGAGGACTTTGTGACCCGACAGATTTAACGTGCCTCAGTCACCATTTACTACACAGGGAGTCTTCGGCGGGCTGGAATTGAACCTCTTGCCCATGGTCCCAGTGCCCTACCAACCATGCTTTCCCGACCCTAACTAGATGTTTTGAAATTTATTAGAATACAAAGATTAAAGTGGGCATGCCAACTTGCCAGAATGGAAGAACATTGAAATGTCAAAAGAATTTTTATGGCCTAAGCATACTTTATTAGAAGGCCTAAACTATGATATATTTATTGAATTGAACAAGATTTTAAAATACTTCAAATAAATAACAATAAAATATGGTTATTGAAAGGGTCATGATCCACACTGGATTGTTGCTTCATTGAAGAAGAAACTTTTTTTTTTCAGTACAGTTGAACTATCCCTTATAATGAGATAGTTGGGACTGATGTAATTCGCATATTAAATCAGGGCACTCATTAAACCATTCAATATCGTGCTTAAAAATATTATTTGAGTGCTTAAAAAGTACTTAAAAGGTGCTAATTTTTTGTTGAAAGATTTGGCCATGCACCCTGCATCAGGTATAATTGTTGTACTTAATTACAATATTAATAATTACAATTATATTATTAATTACAGTTAAATAAATTATGATATAAATAATAAATGTTTATATCAAAGTCACATTTTAATAAAATGAAGAGCAAATAGAAATTATGATTCACAAATTTTTTTATAGGAAACCACAAGCAAACAAATGACCTATGTAAGCAGCAAAAGATAAAATTTAAAGTGATTAGAATGGCTTTGATATGAAGTGATTCAGGACAAAATGGATGAAAGACAATGTAACTCTTCATTGCTTGCATATATAAATTTTTTGAACAGTTTGAAATTAAATATTTTTTAACAGACATGAACAGACAAGTATTTTTTTCTGTCAACTTCTGTTAAGTTTATTTACCAGGAGGTACTCGTTAATCCCAAGTCAACAGAGTGAGATGTTTAAGTTCTATCATGGAACTGTATTTCTTATGAAGACTCATAAAACAAATCTTATAATAAGTCTCAAGTAAATTACAAGTAAAATCAATAGAAAAGGTATAGATTGTACATAATTAAACTGAGCATCTTCTTAACCACAACATTTAAGTGTTCTAGTTGAAGAGGAGAAAAAAAAGTCCGCAGCTTCTAAGATCTATGTTCTTTAAATGTTGAAACAAATTTTCTTAGCTCTTGTGAATTGTCTGAGTTCCATGAATCGACTTACAAACCTCAGAAAGTGGAATTAGTAGGATGGAGGCAATCTGCATTTGATGCAACTATTGTCTCTAGGTTTTTCAGGTGGCTGCTTCAATCTGATATGTCTGTTGGCTGGAACCACCACAAGAGTATATCTTGGTTATTCTTGTCCCAAGTTATTATCTAATAATAACACTTCATGTAGGTTTTTTAATATTAAGTCAGATTTAACGAGAAAATAACAATTATTTTCTTATTAAACCTGGGACCTCGTTAAATCTGGGAGCCAATAATCGAGTTAGGCTGTAATTTTAATGCTTAAAAATTTATTTGTTTATGTAATTCAATTTAATAGTTACTTAAATATTTGAAGGTAAGAAATAGTTAGTAAATTAACTTTCATTTTTTTTTGTTATACCGTGCAAGTCATAAAAATTTTTCTGGATTATTCTGTATTGAGTAATTTAATTTTGTTTACTTTAGAACCATCTTATCATTTTTTACACTCCTGGCCATATTGGGTAGCTTCGTAACTGCTTATAAATATCTCTCTACATCAAGGAAGCGTAAGAGTTTTCTCCATGAGAGTTCCATAAGAATAAATTATGATAAGGAAAATGAAGATGATTCAGATGAAATACTCCTCTTTACTGAAGGCGCAAAAACAAAGTTCAGTGGTAGGTTTTATTTATCAGACAAAAAATGTTTTACCTAAAAAATATCATTTATATTTCTTGTTTGATGAAGTTGAATTTTGCATAAATGTATATCATTGCTTTATAAAGGCTTAGTCGCTATCACTGCTGTCAGTTCTATTAAATATTAAAAAAACTATGCTTTCTGAACTCATATTTTATTGCTCTCCACAGACATAATGTATAGAATTACATTGTTTTGTTTTTGAAAATTTTAATCTTGTACAAAGGTACATATTGAAGTTAAACTTGATTATCATCTTGTTTGTATGCAGGAGTTGCATATGCTATTTATTGCAATTGGAGAGAGAAAAACTTGACAGAATTTTATTGCTTTATAAATGCTAAGTCACTGTCACCATAATCAGTCTTATTTAAAGTAAAAAACTGTTTCCCAAACATGTAATTTATTGTTCACCACACACATAATCTATATATTTACTTATTACCTTGTTTAGTTCTTGAAAATTTTGATGTTGCTCAAGTGTACATATTGAAGTTAAATTTGATTATCATCTTGTTTGTATGCAGGAGTTGCATAAGTAATTTTTTGCTATTGGAGATTGAAGAACTGGATAATTTGTTCAGAGTTTGTGTGTTTAAAGATCTAAAGATTAATTTCAAATGTATTATTAAGATGGAAAGAGTTAATGTGTTTGAAGCTCACAAAAATAATTAATTCGTAAGACTCACCAGATATGATTCCTGACTTATTGGTTGTAAGTAAGACTGCCTATTTCCAAAGCTTGAAGCAAGTTGACCTTTTTCTGCCTAGATTTTTGAAGCTAATAAAATTTTTATGTTATAAATATGTCTTTCAGCTCCAGTTTCTTGTTATTGTTCAATTAATAATTTTAGATTTGCTTAACTCAAATAAATAATTTAAATAGTTTTGCCTTACATTAGTGAAAAATTATCGAACTCTTTTTTTCTCCCTAATGCCCCCCCCCTCTCGATTGACACTTGTCATTCAGCTATTAGTAGGGTAGATTTGTTGGCCACTTTTCAGGGGCACCATATTAGGTGGGCCAACGTAGCTCCCGTAGTAAGGACAGATAGTACAGAGAATGAAAGAACATCCATGCCTTGTCTGGGGTTCGAACCCATGACCATAAGGTCTGATGCTCCCTGAAGACGACACAGCTCAGTTGGGGTTACATAATTTTAATGGAAAATATTTAGTTTTTATGAGAATTTTTATTATCTAATGATAATTGATTTTCAGGACTAAATTGGTTAATTAAAATCACTAAGATAGTCTGAGAATGATAACATGAATTAATATCCCTTTTTTTACAGTATTTCATCCTTAAATATCGCTAAAAAATTAGAAAAAAAGGACAATTCAATTGTATGAAGAATTCCTCAGATATTTATTGATTTTAATACGATCTTATTCTTGAGAAATATGTACAGAGTATGCACAATATGATGAGGGAACCATAATATAGTTAAAGTTTTTATAAAGTTGTCACGAAAAATGTTTGTTAAAAATAAACTTTAAAAATGCTTATATTTAACAATTTGAAATGAAGCTGTTGAAGAGAAACATACATATCCTTTTATAAGCCAAGTTCAACATACCTGATGCAAATCTGTAATATTATCATGGAAATGTAAATGTTTTGGCTAGATGAATATGTGACATATAGCTTAAATGCCCAAAGACCTACATAGTCTTGAATACTCATTGATTCCTGTAAATCATTACAGAAAATATTTCTATAAGGCAAATTTATTAGTTTATTGAGTAAAAATATATTTTTATAGAATTAATGGTTCCTTTTTGCTGAGTAGAAGGCTAATTTTATAGAATTTTGATTATTAAGAAATGTTATATCATGTCATTTTATGTGTTAAATGGATTTCCAAGATTATGAAAGAAATGTTAGAACAATCTCGTTTTTTTTTTTTGAAAATTTTTATTATGGGTTTTATTAGTGAAAAGTGTTTCAGATAAATGGTTTTTTTATATTTTTATTTCTTAAATTTTTAATAAATTCTTTGTTTTTTTTCAAACTGATAAATTTTTTTAATAGTTTTCTTGGAAAAAGCTGATTCATTTCTCAATTGCTTTTGTGTATTTACAAATGGAGCTAAACTTCTTAATACTGATGCTACTGAAGGTCAAATGATGTGCTTGCATGGAATCAGATTTCTCAGCATGAGTTGGGTTATATTGGCTCATACATATGCTTTTAGTTTTGGTTCAGTAAGTAAGTATACTGTTGTGATTATAATTTAAAGATTTTTTAATATGGGATGCATCATGAATCTTATATCAGAATTAGTTTAGAGTGGCTATGTTATGCGTGGGTAACCTATGTTTTCTGTAATATCGGCAATTTAATTCGTTATTTTTGTATTCCATAATAATCTGTATTTAATTATTAATTAATAAGTTTTATGCTATTTTGTATTTGGTAATATAGCATTAATAATAAAATAAACCGTATTTGTGGGATATCTAAAGTAATCAGTGTTTACTTTTGTCATAGATACCCAAGGTTTCATCCTCAGATTTTCCAAACGTTCCACTATTTCTGGTTTTGTTGTAACCACAAATTAGCAAAAGATATATGCTGTTAAAAAAAAGATCATGGTTTTAAAACCTGCTACTGAATTTTTTTTCCTAATAAATTAGTTTCATGGTAAAGAAAGCAGTAAAGTTGCATATTGCGCCATTGAACAACAAGTTTTGTTCTATAGAAAAATCTTTCAATGCCAAGAAAGTATCGACCAAATATTCTCCTTGCTATTAAAATGAATGTAACTAAAGTTTATATGCTATCAAGCAAGTTTTTTTCAAAGTATATTTAAACCGGCTTTATGATAGTATGTTTTACACTTTTAATGATCAGATTAGAGAAGCTTAAAGTTTGAAAATGTTCACAGTTGAGCCTCATGTTCACAAATGTTTTTATATAACAAAAAAGTTCTGAATTTAATTCGCATTTATTATTCCAATAATAGAAGAAAACCTCCTTGAGACAAATTCATATTTTGCCAACGTTCACTTTTGCAAAATGAAAAGGAAAAAGAAAAAAAAAGTTGTTGGGGTACTGTGTTAGGAAATGTTCTGTTCATCGTAGTATCAAATGCATATTATTTTTAAAAACAAACACGGTAGGTGTTATTTTGACTAAAATGATAAAAATATTTTGATTTTCAATATTCTGAATTTTTGATACCAAGCAATTTTTTAGTGTCTCTCTGGTTTTAAGTAATGACTCTATTTTAATGTATTGTATTATTCATATATATTTCCTGTATTGTATGATAAAAGCATTTAATTGTTTTAGTTCTTATTGCTGTGTTTAAAGGATTAAACTTTGAAATTTTAGTTGCTTTTTACATTATTTCTTATAATCATTTTCTAATTTTCTATAGGAGCTATGAAAGTAGTATTAGATCGTATTGATAATTTTCCTTTTGAAGTGATACTTAATGGTTTTTTTTCTGTGGATTCCTTTTTCGTTCTTAGGTGAGTTACAGTTTTTAAAAAGGTTAAATTGTGCTAAGTACAAAATTTTAGTTAATTCTTTTATTAGGATATTTTTTCAAAAGTTAAACTAGATAAATATTGTTATTTCTTCTGAATTAATAAATATTGGATGTTATCTATACACATAATGAAACAGATTTTTTTGTGTGTCTCAATCTGTGAATATCACTTACACGAGGGGACTTTTTTGCAAAGTTTAACATGAAGGTAGATATCGAACCCCAATTATAAAGAAAGAGCACAGTTGTCAAATTTTTATTAGTTTTTTTCTTTTAACTAAGCAGTGCATAAAGAAGTTCATCAAATTCAAATTAATATTTTTTTTATTTGATATATTTTAAATTTTTTCTTCCAAAATAAAGGCTCATATTTATCATCATGTTCTTCATCCTTAGAACAATGTTATAATTTCTGCCAAAGTTATTTGGGAAACTGCAATTCCCCTCCTTCCATGGAAAAAATTGTAAAATTTTAAGAGCCAGCTTCTAGAACTATTATGGTGACTTAATCGCATTTACAGCAAAATAGAAAACTAGCTTTGCATAGTCATACTTTGCTATTTTTTAGCAAAAGGGATCATATGTGTGTCATTTTACAGTAAAGAAGGAAAATATTCAATTAAAAAGTTTGATTTATCGAAAATTTTAAGAAAGTAAAGCTTTTAAATTGTGATACCAAAAATTAAATAATGCAAACTATAAAATAAACACTAAAGCAGTTGGTAAATTAATAGTTTTATTTTTAATACAAACATTAAATGGCTATATACATTAATATCGTCTTTGAGTTTTAGCTTTCAAATTTCGTCTATCAAGAAATTTTTCAGGATTAAAATCTTTTCAGAAAGGTCCACTTAAATTTATGAACATTAAACTATTCTTGATCTTAAATTTGAATGGAGTTTATTATGGTGTTTAACAAACTGAATCTTCTTTCACAGGAAGATGTTGAAGTAAGTAGTTTCAGCAAAAGGAAAATAGTAAATAAATGGAGTAATTTGTAAAAATAGCTTATTGCCAAAAATAATTTTTTTAGTGAAAAAATAATAAATAAGCTTAATATGTTGAAAAAGTTAGTGGCCAATGGAATTTTTCTTGTCACCTGGCTGACCTGGCACCTGGGATTTGTCAGTTCCTGCCCCATCTGCAAATTTTAAAGTTAAGACATCCAAGAATCTATTATAGATATAAACAAGTAATTTAGATAAGAATACAAAGATTTATCTCAAACAACATTGCATGAGAGATATCTGATAGATAAAATAAAGGCAAAAGTTAGTGTTGAATCTCAAGGTGAGTTCATGTAGGCAATTGTTTGCCAGTTTGTTTTTGTCTAAACATCATTTTAGGTATTTTCAAAGTTGAAATTTCGTAAGTGATTTTTAATCTCCCAATTTACTCTTGAAATACTAATGCCAGGAATTCTGATTAATGTTACCAAAGACAACTGTGATTATTGAGTTTGTGAAATTTGAGGATAATGTGGAATCACAAAGTTGCAAGTTCACATTTCTGCAAGTTCACAGCTATCTGTAGACGACTTGTTGTACAAAATGTCCAAATATTTAATGTTTTTCAAGAAATCACTATTAACCCTTAATTTCAAGTTTACTTCCCACCAGGTATAATAGTAATACTTAATCACAAGATTAAAAATTACAATTATATGATTAATTATAGTTAAAAAAATTATAACTGTTAAGTAATAAAATGGTTCTTGCTGCTATATACAGGACATTTAACCCTGTAAAAAAAGCCATGTCGCTTTTATAGTGTCATTGGTCTTTAAGGGTTAAACTTCAGGATAGTTAAATTTTTGTATTGATATAAAAGTGGTAAATTTATATCCCTTAAAATTTTTCAAGGCTGCTGCACCAACTAGAAATATTGCTTTCAAATGGTTATCATAGTCAAGTACCGTAACTTTGAATTCATTAAATAGTTCACTTGATTTAAATGTTTTAAGTATAATTTATTAATACTTTTTATTCTAATTCTTTCAGTGCATTTTATTTTGTGTGGTTTGTCTATGAAGTTTTTGAAAAATATAAAGTCACGAATGTAACTATTTGTATTTATTTTTAGTGCCTTCTTGATGTCATATTTATATCTGCAAGAAGCAGCTAAAAAAAAGGGCAATTTATCTTGGGCATACTTTTATATTCATCGATATTTAAGGTGGATTTTTTTTATTACTCTTTTCAAGTTTACTGAATTAATAGTTTTCATTGTATAAATTTTTATCGTACCTTGTGTTTTAAAAATGATTGTTAATTTGAAGTCAATTAAACAAGAGGAACTTGATTGAATCGTACTGTTTGCTCTTCTGCCGAGGAAACAAGAAAAATAAATTATGATAAAGTTTCAAAATGTATTTCAAGTTTGTTGACAGATGGGACTGTAACTGAAAAAAAAGCTGTCTGCTAACTCAGCCTCATCTGTAGGCAAACATTGTTATTAGTTTGTAAACTTGTTGAAAAGCCTTTTTCTTAGACAGAATTCAACTAACCATTCATTTCTATCTCCTTTCATTTTATTTTTAAAATTGATGTCTTAAAATGTTGGCCATTTTTTGTATATATAGTAGGTTGTCACATAAATTTTTAGAATTCTAACTTTATTTTATTTTTAAAGTTTTTTTTTGAATATATGTGAATTTTTTCATGTACAATTTACTTTTGAATACATATTATTGAATCAACTGAGTTTTTTTTTATAAATAAAATTGTTTATTGTATTTACTTAATTGTTGCAACTGTCAGAAATCTCAAATACAAGTGTTTAAAGTTGTATGTCGTCCTCGAGAGAGTGGATTAATACTGGACAATTTTAGTCTCGAATAATTCTCAACAAAGAACTGATGCCACATATAACTAGACTAGTGAATTATTCCAGAAAACTAGTGTATTAGGCCTCAAGATTTATCTTGGCTTAGACTCTCAACTAGCATACATGGCCCATTACCATACTGCTATCATCCTGATTTTGAGTCGCAGACCATTGGTAGGGAACCACTGATGTAAACTATTGCTTACATAATTAACTGAAGCAACTGTTTTGAGGAAAAAAAGAGAAAGAGTTATGAAAGTCGGGGAACATGGTCTTATGATAAATATGAAATGACAACTATATAGGAGTAGAATTGTAATAAATGTTAATCATGAAAACCTAGCCTTCTAATTTGCCAATGACTTATAGTAAGCTTGTGTTTCCTAGAATAAGATTTTCTAATTTTATTGATCCCTATTTTCAAACGATGTTTTCTTCTTGATACACATAGAATTGTTTTGGTACTAACTTTTTGTATTATTTAGATATTTTTTAATGTAGGTTTAATTTTCAAATCTGCATTGTTTGCTTATGCATGTTTACTAAACAATTCTCATCATTTGTACCTGATAAAATATAGAAATAACAAAAATAGTTTATTTTTATACTTTAAACTGTGGCTTGTTTCCCAACCTAAGAAATGTCTGTCTTGTCGACTTTCTCACTTTTAGTATATCTATATCAGGAAGTCATTGTTAGTAAAAAAAAGAAATTTAAAGGTGATTATCAGGAATTCTGTAGGAAGTATGATTTTAGAAATAATATTATTTAGAGAGGTAGAAATATGATTTTTAATGGTAATGTATTTTTAGTGATTAGTAATTATAAACTTTGATTGTTTTTCTTAATGAAAATTTAATATTGGGAGCAAAATTATTTTTAAAAACTTTTTTGTTCAATTTTCTTTAAACTAAAATTTTTTTTATCCTTTTTTAAAACTGTTTTTCTTCCTATTTTACACAGGCTAACTCCAGTTTACATGTTGGTGATTGCTTTTTATACTACTATTTATCCATATTTGGGTTCTGGTCCTTTCTGGCCTGACTATGATGTTGAACCTCTTTGTCAGAAAAATTGGTGGTGGAATTTATTATATATAAACAATTTCCAAAAAACTACTGAGGGGGTAATGATACTCTATTAATATTTCTCCCTCTTTTTGTCCTATTCACATTCTTTTCTCACTTTCCCAAATAAGTATAAAAATATTAAAAGAAGCACTAAATAAAAAGATATATTTTTTATTAACTCTTATTTCTGCATTACTTTGTCTCAAAAGCTATTTAATCTATTTGTAATGTAATATTAGTAACAGATACATCACATGTACTGTACATATAATTCGACTCCTTAGTTTTGATTATGAGATATCAAATTTCTGGTATGTCGAGTGTGTATGTCAACCACTGAAAAAAAAAAAAAAACAAATGTGAAAATTTCTGATATTTAAAACAAAAAAATATTAAATCTAAAAAATTGTCTCAGGTAAAAAATATTTCACATCAAAAACTTACAAAATCAGAAAATTTCCACTATGTTTATATAGACAATCCAATAATCCAATAATTTGACATCGTGTGTCAAATTATTGGATTCAAATGTTTTTGTAAAATCTTTTAAAAAGTGTTTAAAAGTTTGAATTCCTTTGATTGAGGTAAAGTAGATTTTTTTTTTGTGGGACTCAGCAGATAAGGATGAAGTAAAATCCATTACAGAGTGACATCCGCATGACGACACTGTTAACGTTGTTGAATCTGATACAGGCGATGTTCTGGAATATTTAAATTTATACCTTTAAGGTATGTTTTAAAAGCTTTCATTGTGCTATATTTTTTCAAATACTCTTGAATAAATTATCTTAACTCTTCTTCTTCTTAATTTTTTTTTTAATTTGAAGCAGTGTTTCTAAAAAAACTTTTTGTGTAAATAAAATATGTGAGAAATTACAAAATTAATTGTATATATTTTAATTAAAAGTTAATTAATCAGAGTTATTCATATCTATCTCATTGTTCATAATACATCAGTATTTCATGATCAACATATGTCCAACTTTATTACTGGTGTATAAGTCAAACCTCTGATTTTCATATAATTTTGGGACAATTTGAAAAATCAACTTACGATAATATATTACATATATTTGCATGTTATATGTAACTATTAAGGAACTATAAAGGATTTTACATTGTGTAGCATATTGTGTTGTGTAGTTATACTTTATCATTTGAATTTTGGTCTAATAATTTTAAAAGAATTCTTATTTTCATGATAAATATATGTAGCTTAAACATATAATAGTTTGAATGGATATTTAATTTGTATGGTTTGTTCTATATATATAGGTAAAAGATGTATTTATTCAAAAGAAGTATATATTTTTTTTGTATGATTTTGTTTTTTAATAATTGTTTGAGAGAATTAATAAGTGTATTTAAGGTTTGTTTTCAGACTTAGATTTTCTCTTTATTTGTTATAAATCTGATAATTATATCAAAAGTTTTTGATTGCTTCTTATATTTACTAACTTATTTATTTTTGCTGACTTTATTTGCATATGAGAGTTTTTGAAATTTATATTTGCTTGGTATATAGTTATTTCTGTGAAATACAAGGAATTAGTGAGTAAAATAAGGTAAAGTAAATAGTTATATAATAAATTAAATACATTAATTGAAACATTTGACAAAACAGCTTTTTGACTCAACTATTTTTATTTTTTTAGTGTCTTGGATGGTCTTGGTATTTAGCTAATGATATGCAATTCTTTGTTATAAGTCCACTGTTTTTAATTACCCTTTGGAGGTATGCATTATGAATAATTCGTGATATTGGAACATTGTTTAATTGCAAGATAATTATACTTTTGAGAATATGATTTGTATGTTATTGTAGGTTTTTATAATATAGTCAATATTATTAATAAATAAAAAGTTTTAATTTTTCTTCGCATGTAATAAATTACTTTATTTTTCTTGTTTATTTTAATTGATCTGAAACAAAACTGCAATTTTGGAATGTTTGTTTTAGATAAATTTAAAAATAGTAATTGTAGTTGAGCAAACTAACTCTTTAACATGCTTTTATGAAGTTGTTCAATTTATTTATTTGAATGACGCAAAATCAACTTATTTTCAGACCCAGTTACCATCAGAAGTTGATAAATGTACAGACTTTTATGGGTCAATGCAATTGAGATTAATAATTTAAATGTAGTATTAGTATTGACTATGCAATTTAGTGCAAAACATCAAGTTTAGCACTAAGTTAAAATATGCATTTTTATTAATAAATATTTTTAGTAAATAATTGTTTCACAATATTTAATTATTATTAAAGAAAGTTTATATTTTAAAAATCTGAATTAAAAATCTAAATTAAAATAATACATTTGTTTTAAATGAGAGTTAAAAAACCCATTGAAACAATAAAACATATATTTTATTGAATGATAATTCAGTGAAGCATGAAATTTGTAATTATAATATTCTTGATTGAACTAAATTGATTGACTTTGATAATCATTTAAAGAAGGCTTTGGCTTTTCAGTTTAGAAATCAAAGTAATAAAATTTTTCATTATTTTTTTTTATTGATATGTTTATAATGTTGAAGATTATCAGCTGTGTGTGGTTGTTATTTTTTTTAACATACAGCACAAATTTAAGCAAATTTATATTAGGTGGAAAACTAAATGATTACTTTTGATGGTAAATAATTTAAAAAACTGCTGCAAAATAGTTTAACTTATCCTGTTTGATAATTTACAGTTTTAATTTTTCATAACTTATTATGTACCATGAAAATTATCATTAAAAACATTATTTTATTTATTTATGAACATTTATATGACTTTTTTGTAACATGGTTAAAATATGTATTTTTATTTGCTTTTAGATGGCCAACCATTGGTTATTCTCTTCTGACCACAGCTTTATTTGGGTCTTGGGCTGCTTCGTTTATAATCACTTATGATTATAATTTGTTTTCTGGTTTTGGTGATATAGCTACCTCTATAATTCAGCCAGATTTTATGGATAGGTAAGATGGATTTGGTTTGACCTCTAAATTATTTTTCATGAGCAATAAATTAGTTTTGTATTAATTGTGTTTTAGAAGTCACCCATAAAAGTGTTTAGAGTAGCATTTTACCTGTTATATGAAGAAAATTTGAAGATTATTATTATTCTTAAAAAAAGAAGGCTGATGACCATGGTTATTATTGGTGAAGATCCACATTGCAAATTATTGTAGAAGAAAACAAACATCCAAATGCATGATTTCTTCGCTTCTCTGTCTATGGAAATAGTATTAAGGGAGATATCAACAAGATCATATTTTGGATCAAAATTAATTTATAATTAAATGTCATTTCTGAAAATTTGGCACATGCGTTAATTTAAGTGGACCCACTTAAAAAGGACAATTTAATTTATAGATTATTTTTATTTTTGGTATAATTTTTGATAATTTTTGTATATTTGTTATATGAGAGTTAATAGACCCACTTCCTGCCTGATTTATTGCCAAATAAGAAGAGATTATTATCCGACACTTTGGAAAATAATGAAATATCCATTATTCATGAAATATCCATTATTTATTAAAAAGGAATGCTGACAAATGTAAAGCCAATTGAGGCAATACCACATTGTTTAATGTTAATATTTAAATAATTTGCCAGAAAATTTAAAAGATTCTGCAAACATGTAACTAATTACATTTTAATGCCACTATCTAAAGTGGTTGAAGAAATAAAAATTAAAAATAGATTTTGATGCTCAGTTCTTGCCACATTGAATAATAATTAGTTGTACACTTGCATTGAAATAAAGAATTAGCTGTTACATTTATTGAGAAAGAAAAATAACCTAAATATTTGCATGCAGCCTATATTTTGTTTGAAAGATATTTGAAATAAATAGTTATGTATATAAATTTATAAAATAAAGGAAATTAAAAAGCTAGGAAACATGTATTGCTAATACTGATATGAAATACGCTGCTTTTAGTTATTTTATTTAATTTGGGACGCTCTAGCAACCACAATGCAATTTACAATATTTTGATTCTTAGGAATATGACACTCTTTAATGAATTTTAAAACTAACTAAATTTTAAAAAGGGAAGAAAAATTACCAATTCAGACAATTCATGTACAAAAAAGTTCTTTTATTAAATTAGGATAATAAGGCAATGCTTAATTATATATACTAAGCTTAAGTTATACACTTATAAAAAAATCATGTAATTTATATTTATTATAACTTTTTTTTAAATTTTTGCTGTGTTGCCTTTTTTACAGGTGGACTGTGTATTTTGAAAAATTGTATATCAAACCATACTCTAGAATTGGCCCATACCTTGTAGGAATAGCATTAGGTTATATATTGTTCAAAAGAAAAATCACCCCTACTAGAGATAGTAAGGTAAGAAACTTTTATACGTTGTTAACTTTTTAATTCTTTTATTCTTGCATTTAAATGTTGTTGCATCCAGAAGTATGACCTAAGCGATCACATATGACCATAAAAACATAATTCTTGTTCATAACAGTTTTTTTTTAATTTCAAATATTATAAAATGTTTGACAATGTGAAAGATTGAAGAATTATAAATTTTTTTTGGTACTATTATTTTATAGATCTTTAGAGATTTTTCTTTCTAGAGATAGTAAGGTATGGTGTTAACTTTTTAACTCTTTTATTCTTGCATTTAAATGTTGTTGCATCCAGAAGTATGACTTAAACTATGACATATGACTATAAAAACATAATTCTTGTTAATAACAGTTTTTTTTAAATTTCAAATATTATGAAATGTTTGACAATGTAAAAGATTGAAGAATTATATATTTTTTTGCTACTATTCCTTTATAGACCTTCAGAGACATATCTTTTGCTTGATATCATTCTTTCAATACCTAAGACATTTTTAGTGTAATGGAAGTAGTTTTAAAAATGTTAAAATTATTCATTTATAATATCCTTATTTAATGTCTGAGAATTTGTGGAATATAGAGACTGATTCTTTGAGATCTGGAATGATTTTTCTGAAATAAATGATTAATGTCTTAATTGTATGTTTTGTAAAGTATTACTGAATTAGCATTATCAAAATAATATTAAACAAGGTACTCTCAGGACAGGAAAAATTGTTCATGAATTAGAACAGAAAATCTTAAAATTTTTTTATTTAGTTTTACAAATACTCTGTTGCAACTTCTAATATTAATCTATTTAATTCTTTGACTGGGACATTTATTGTTACAAAAATTTACAGTATTGTCTGCTATAAAAGGAGTTTACGTAGAGAGGTGTTTAACTTATAAAACAGGTCAGCTTAACAAATTTCTCTGATTAAAATCTACCCTATTGTAGTTTGTTCTCGTACATTGCGTTTGTAAGAGTTTCTTTGATATCAGAGTTATTTGCATACTTATAAGTTTAATAATAATAACATCCTCTTTCTTTTTCTCAATCCAGATAATTCTTTTTGTTGGATGGGTTGTTGCTACATCTGTTGGATTGACCTGTGTGTACAGCCTTTATCACAATACTACTGCTTTAGTGGCTACTAGTTTTTACAATGCCCTCAGCCGTACAGCCTTTGGTCTTTGTCTAAGTTGGGTGATTTATGTTTGCCTTACTCAGCAAGCAGGTCTGTTATACATTTGTTTTTTTTTATGCATCCCATTATTTATTTATTTATTGAGTTGATGATGTTTCTAAAATATGTGATTAACCGATTTTTATAGTTTATGCTAGGTACTGTTGTATAAGTACTGCCAGATAAATGGGAATGCACTGTTTAATAATAAAAATTGAAAAGTACTTGGAAAAATTAAATTTACTAATAATAATTTTTAGATTTTTATCATATTGAATATTTTTATATCATTATTTATTCACTATTTTTGGCAGTTCACGTTTTTTTTTTCAAAACTTGTTTCCACTGTTATAATATTTTTTCCTTACAGTTCATGTCGCTAGAAGCCCAGCCAACTTTAGATTGATATGTTTCAGCTTGTTTATAAAGTAAAGTTGGACGCACTGCAATGCTAACCACATTGTTATCATTATCCCATAAATTTTTTTCCTATGCGACCTAGCACTATTTCACAGTATGCCTTAAATTACAGATAAAAAAAAGAATTATTGGATTTAAGTTTATTGATATCAATATTTCAGTTCAAAGGAAAACTCTGAACAAGAAATTTTTCAAGACACATAATAATTACACAATATAAAGTCATGTTTTTCTCTTTTAATTTATGCAATTTTAAAATAAAGATGCATATTTGGAATAAAGTAGTTATTTGGTTAAAAATGTAGTGTATTTGATAATTGATATTGCTCTTTAAATATGAGAGTTGAATTTGATTTTAAAAGTATGAACTAAATTTTGAAAATTCACCAAGTTTTTGATAGTTTTTTTAGCATATTTCTTTTTATTAAAAAATAATTGAATTTATAACTAAATATATTTCCTAACTTAACAAAAATCAACATATGTAACAATATTGAGTTGGTTTTCATGATAATAAGAGTAGTTCAAAACTGGCTAATAAGAAGCAAAGAAATTAGAAGCAAATAAGAAGAAATAAGAAGCAAAGCTAATAAGCAAAGAAATTGTTATTGTTTTGATGGAGGAGTAAAAATATAAGGAAATGGTTTAAATAATGTTTCTATGTTTTTCTTTTTAAAATAATTATTTAAAATCTCGATAAATCTTAATTTTTTGTTGTATAAGACTTCATTTATTTTCTTTAGTCTTATGGAACAAGTGGTAATAAAGTTTTATACAATTTGAAATTAATTTGTTGAGCTTAAAATTTTACTCAGTTTGCATTTAATTTACTTAAAACATTGCTTTTACTTCAGCTTTCAAAAATTTCACAATTATTATGGTTCTCTTATTATTTATATTCTGTTTTAAATTAAAATATTAATATATTTGATTATTAAGATAAACAAAACTTAAATAGTTTCATTTCAAATCATTTTTTTTCTTCAAAAAACAAAGTTTAAAAACAATTTGTCAAGAATTTTCTGTTTTCCCTGAATGTGTGAAACATTAATTAAAATATGTATATATATTTTGAAACAATTTTATAAATAATTAATTGCAAAAAGTGGCGTAATTTTTATTTTAATATTATTTTATAATCTTTAGAAATCTTCTATTTTACTATACGATATGTTCTGTAAGTAGGTTGTTTACAAAAGAGTTTCTTTTGCTGCTCTGCTGTAATTACTGTAGTTATAAATCTCAAAGTCTATTAAATTAAATTATATTTTATAAATTTCGTCTAAAACAAATTTTTTTGTCTGTTTTTAAATTTAGAAATATAGATTTTCTAGAAACATTTTTGTATATCGTGGGCACTCTTCAGTCCAGAAGACTGAAATCTGTCCTGAGAAAAGAGCAGTGGAATGATTTTCTTTCCTCCATTAAATATTTATTTTCAATTTATTTTACAAATTTAACTTTTTCTTTAAAAATGAAATAATAATTATTTTGAGTTAAAAAAATTTTAAATTATTACTATTTATGAAAACATTGTCTTTCATGTTATTGCAAAATGATTAAGCAATGATGTCGCACCACAATGAAAGAATGGTATTGATTGACTTTCAACATCTGCTTGTCTAAACATAATATTGTTGAATCTAAATCTGCTTTGTATTCCCCCCCCCCCAACATTTTGAGATTGTTGGCAAAGTTAAATTAAGATTATTTTTTAAAATATCAAATTTATAGAACTATGACAAAGCATAAAATGATGATGAAGTTTAAAATAAGTAGAAATATACATGGCTCCTAGAAGAAATTAGTAGCTTATTTTAGCAATTGGGGTAAAAAAATAAATAAGGTTTTTTTTTAGCTATAAAAAATAATAAAATAAAGAAAATATGTTTTTTTTTAAAGAAAAAAAAATCTATTTTTGCTATAATATATGGGCCATTCTGATGGAAAGTGAGCCATAAATTTCTGAAAAATTCTTCAAAATAGTGCTACACCGTATTAATTGGTTCAGACTTGAAATGTTTCTGGAGTGGCATCCATGATCGTGGGTATATTACCAAAAATGAAAAATTCAATAACTGACAAAAAAAAAAAAGAAAAGAACAAAAAGAGATAATGTATTTAATTAGTTTATATGCTGCTTTTTAAGGAAAAATGTCCAAGTCAATACATAACCAATTCCAATTATTACAGTACAGTATAATCCTAATATATCTATATTTATTGTTCAAAAACTAAATGAGAATAGTTAGTTATTAATGATACTTTAAAGAGATTATTATTACTATTAAGCTATATACATTTATTTTATTTACTCTGTTTTAATTTTCAGTTGTTGTGGATAAGATTTTATCATTTAAGCTGTTTGTTCCTTTGAGCCGTTTGACATACTCTGCATACCTTATTCATCCAATGCTCATAATAGGATATTTTGGATCAATGAGAACCACTCTTGATTTCTCACATCAAACAATGGTTTGTATTTTTCAATTGAATATTTCTGTCACATTTTCTCTTTTACTGAGGCTGAGGAAGAGAGTATCATGTGATTAGGTATGTGTGATCATGGTCCTGAAGGAATCTTTGCTTAGAAGGAAGTCAAGAAAGTATATACATTAGGGATCTCAAATTAATATCTTAGAGAAGAAAAAAACAAATTTGCAAAAAACGTAATTTTAGAAAACACCTCTGAGTTTTCAAACATAATCAGACTGGTGCCATTTCCAGTCCCCAATATTAACTCCTTGATTTCAAAAACTTTTTTTGTGTTTATTGCTTAAGACTCGGTGTATACCTATTGCGTGTACTCTTCATTTTCAACCAGAATTTAAAAAATATATTAATAGTGGCCTTTGCATATCACTGTGTATTGTTTATTTTCTATATGCGCTCATGAAATAAGCTGTTCAGAAGATAACTGGCAAAAATATTGTTTGCAATGTGCAAGAGCTACGAGAAGTTTAAATACCTTATTCTGAAAAAAGTTACTTATACATGTAAACATAGACTTTTTCCTGTAAAAGTAGACTTTTTCTTTTAAAAAATTAATACTCAAAATATTTTTGGCACAAAACTTTGTAATGGTTTTATAAATGATACTTGAAAACTCCCCTACGTTTCTGCCTTTTTGAGGAAAATAATTGTGGTTTGTGCTGGAGATTTGAATTTCTTCTAGACAAACAAGTGAGACATATTGTTGGATGAATTTTTTCAAGATGAATTGACTGTGACCATTCTCAATATAATCAAATAGATGGAATAGAAAAACAGTTTAAAAGTTATAAGGGTTTAATGGGCGAAAAGTACAAATTTGTTCTTGTACACATCTGATATTGTTACTTAAATAAAGGAGATAGTGTTTTTGTGTATTTTTTCACACTGAATTAAATAAGATTATACATGAGTCAATGGAACTAATAGTTCAAAATTCATAAGAGTTTTTATGTATTGAAATTATTATTTTTTGGCTTGTACTTGTGTTTACACTTTACATTGTGCTATGAATTGACTTGAATGAGATCAATCTGACATAATTGGCCAAATAGTTTAGAAGTTATAAGGGTTTTATACTTATCTCATACTTCTTAGTGCCAAGCATCATTTTTGATGAGCCTTAGTTGAAACGTCTGTAATAGTTATAAAGACTTTTTAATAAATACTGCTTAAAATTTCAAATTTTTGTTTGATAACTTATGTTATGAAAAATGGTATTAAAATTTCAAACAAGAAAGATTTATGAAGGAATCCAAATGTTGAAACTTTAAAATGAATAAAATAATGTCTTACTTTAAATCTATAAGTATTGACAATTAAGATAATTATTAATTTAAAATTTTATTTTATAGGTGATTTTGTTTCTTGGATTGCTGACAGTAACCTATGCTTTTTCTCTGATTGTTTCGTTACTTTTTGAATCTCCAATCATCAGATTAGAGAAATTAATTCGTTCAAAATTCCATTCATGAGTATGCTGTATTCAAGGATACATTTTTTGCACATTTGTTATTAAGTGTAGACTAGTGTGAATTAAAGAAAACTGCTCTAAGTGAATCTATATAATTAATAACATATGGGAGAAAAATAGCTTTAAAAGATGTCTATAGTTGATTGTGTATAGATTTGTATTTTAAATTGTTTTAAAATTGTGCCTTTAAGTTTTTTTTCAAATTATAAATGCTTTTATAATTTTAATTTAAAAAAAATTCTGTGTGTCAATTTATTCAGATATATATTATTGTTGAAATAATAATTTAAAGTAGTACAAGTAGTATAAATTTCCCAGAATTTTGTTGAAATGAAACTGTTGACTTTGTAAAACAATTATGAGAACAGAAACTAGGACATCATATCATAAATAATTAGTATTTAAATTTTATTTCGAAACATTAATTATTATGCTTCTATTATCGAGGCGAATATATATTTGAACTTGGATTAAATATAATAATGGAAAACTTAAAACTTAGACAAATTACAAGGAAACTAGCAATGAAAAATAAAAATAAATAAATCGTAAAATGATTAATTTTAAAAAGCATTTGGCAAAAACATTTTATTGTAAAAATTTTATCACAAAAAATAAAATTTTATTACTTAATGATGCTGGTCATTTTGTTTTAGAATTTTTTGAAACTTTAAGTGCCATATTTTCTTAGGATTTTTGGATATTTTTGTTAATATTTTATCCTACATTTTAGTTTTATGTACTTAAAAGCAGTTGCATCAGTTATAGTCCCTTTGGTTAACATTTTACTAAATTATTTTCGATTATTAACTACGCGTATCTCTACGCTTAATTATAAAAGTATATATTTATTGTTGACGTTTAAAAATATTACTTTGTTGCTTTACTTTGCAGCTTACATTATGGCATATTCTTTTCTTTGTAAAATAGTATTCTTATATATCCTTTTATGTATACAGATTTTTTGTGCATCACAATATTATTTACTAAAACTATTTACTTATTGTTTTATTTGTATATTTGTTACTTAGAACTATGTAATACAATTGGACACTTTTTTAAATATTTATCAAGCTTCAAACTGTCTTGTATGGATGTATGATTCAAGTGGCGACAAAGTCATTGCTTTAAAATTGACACTTATCTTAAGTTGCCAAACTGATAATTCATGATGTCAGATTTAATGAGGAATAGTTCTATTTTAGCAAATTGTCCTTTAATTATGAAAATTTCCTTAGTCATTCATTCTGTGTCGCAAAAAGATCTGTTTAGAGAGTTTTTTTGTTTATTCCCTTTTTTTATATGAATCTGTACTTAAAATTTTTATAAATTTATATGTTTTGTAAATATTTGTAGATATAAGTTGATAAGTAGTTGACAGTTTCTTATTTAACTCTATAGTTAGATGAATATTTTGCATGCAACTTGTTAAATTTTTTTTTCAACAAAAGTTTGAGAATTTTACCATAAAAGAACAGTATTTCAGAATTTTCGGATTGTACATAATTTAGTTGATGGTTTAACTTATCTAGATAAGTAGTTTTTCAGCAAAAGCTAAAAATAAAAATGCTTTTAACTTTCAAAGGAACAAAAAGTAACTTTATCTCATGTTCTTAACTAGTTCATATCTGATTCAGGTGCAGATTAGGTTCATCTGCAGAAAATAGTTCAAATGATCTAACATCAAAATTCAGTAGAGCTATTATTTTGTATTAAATAATACCTCTAAACTCTATTACAGCTAAAATGTTATTTCATATCACATTATAAAATCATAGTTATACAATCAAAAAAAAAATAAAATGTCTTAATAATCTATAATAAAAATGTTGCCAAATTTTACTGCATAAATCTTTATTTTTTTGTATGTCAATTTTCATTTTAAATATATTTAAAAATGTAATTATTATGACACTATTTTCATTCTTATAAAATTTTTAAAGAGGGTTTACTTTATCAATATATTGATTGTATATAATTTAATTTGATGCCAAAAATATAATTTTTATAATGAATTTATACACATTTTTTATTTTGAAATAACATTAATATTTTTATGTGAACTATGTTATGAAAAGTATTATTGTTGCATTTTTTAATTCTAATAAATAAATGATAGCTATTTTAAATTTTCTCCAAAAAAGTTTGCTTATATTTTATATATGTGATAAAAGAGTATCCATCTGTCTATTTATACTTACTTTGTTTACACTTTGTATTTTGTAAAACTAAAATTTATGTTTATGTGTTAATTTTATGATTCCTATTTTTGATACTGATTGTTGAGTTTTTATACTTAAATGTTTTACGATAAAGGTTGTGAATTAATAGTATTTATTATTGCCAGATTTTAGAAATATCTGTTAGAATGTTATTAAATGTTGTATGTTATATTTTTTTACGAATAAACTAATTGTTTATGTTATTTGAGTGGCTTTTTCCTTTCTTGCAATTGAAAGTAGGTATTTAAATTTAATGACGGAAGATTTTGCTAAAATAATTTATGGAGATGGTCTTACATTGATTGGGGTGATGAAGTTTATGATGGCTTAATACAAGAAACACAATGCTAACTAAGCCAATTGTGTAAACAGGAAAAAAGTCAAAAGTGATAAATTTTTTTCCAAAATTAAGCGTATTTTCTTGAATACACTATTGCATGGGTAGTAGACAAAATTTAGATAGAAAATGCAATCACTGGCGTATAAATGTTCAGAAAACGTTTTTTTTCTTGAAGGCACCCTCAGTCTGTGCTTAAACCATCCAAAAAAATTTTTAACCTTTTTTTTAACATTAAAATTGTGTTTTGAAGTTTCAGTTTTCTAAATTACAGTGGCTTGGTTAGCTTTAGAATGTATTTAGATTGGCCAGTCACCATGAGTAGAAAGTAAAGTAAAACCGAATTATCAAAATCATCTTTGTCAATATACTAATCACTTTATAGTACATACCAGTTTCTGAAATAGTAGGAGTTCGAATATAATACTTTGATATATGCTGATGCCACTTCTATATTGTTTGGAAAAACCATTTCTTTCAGCATCCTATTTTAGTCTGAATAACAAATTCAATGCAGCAAAAAAAAAATAATAAAATAAAAAATTATATATATACACTGCATACTATATATATACTACATATTTTAAATGCTAAGTAAAAAATTTGAACGAAATCGGTCGAGAAGTTTTTGAGAAATAAAAATTTAAAAATACGATTTCTTTGAGATGGCGATACACGCAAAAATTGAAATCATTAAAGGGCTGAAACTTACGATCGCTTTCCTGCTCTAACTATGGAGCTTATATTTTCAGTTCCCTATATTTTGAAGGTTAAGAATCCGAATAGGCCGAAAAAAAATTCCTACGTGGTAGTAAGAAGTGGTGCCTGTTTTCCTAACTTTAACTATCGTTTGTTCTAACTAACGCATTTAAGGCTAGAACTTAATTNCATACATACATACATACATACATACATACATACATACATACATACATACATACATACATACATACATACATACATACATACATACATACATACGTACGTACGTACGTACGTACGTACGTACTACATGTTTTAAATGCAATGCTAAGTAAAAAATATGAACGAAATCGGTCGAGAGGTTTTTGAGAAATAAAAATTTAAAAATAAGATTTCTTTGAGATGGCGATACACGCAAAACGTTAAATCATTAAAGGGCTGAAACTTACGATCGCTTTCCCGCTTTAACTATGGAGCTTATATTTTCAGTTCCCTATATTTTGAGGGTTAAGAATCCGAATAGGCCGAAAAAAAATTCTTACGAGGTAGTAAGAAGTGGTGCCTGTTTTCTTGACTGTAACTATCGTTTGTTCTAATTAACGTATTTAAATCTAGAACTTAACCATAAAGAGTGAGTTCCAGTGCATGAAAATAAGATCTTAAAATCAAAAGTTAATGTTTATTTTCGCCACGAAAAGAGAAAAAAAACTTAATTTTTGATTTAATAATGATCGTATTAGCATTTTCATTAAGATGCAATACGCGTTTAAAAAAGTGTTTTTTTCTTCTTTTCTTTAAACTTTTACTTTTCAAGAATTATTAAATCGACATTTCTTAGATTTAGGATTTTGTTATATAAAATTACTTATTTTAAATTAAAATTTTAATCAAAAATTTCTGTAAGTTTACATTTTTTCCTATAATTATTAATTAAAGCGATAATAATAATAAACAGTTATTAATTTTTTTTTACCTGAAATAGCAATTGAATGAATGTATTTTATGTAATTATGGGGTACAATTAATCGATACACGTCATTAGTTTCGTGAATTTAGTTATGGAAAATACAAAAAAGTTAAAATAAATTCAAGCTGACTAGATTTTGGTCAGGGTTTCTACTTGAACTATTAGAATCATAATATTTCAAGACCTGAAATTTGATTTTGTCAAACAAACAATAAAATACCATCTAAAACTATTTTGGATTTTTTCCTAGCAAATGGCAGCAATTCCTAGCTAATGTCTTTGTTGAGAAATGATGAATCCAACAAAGTACCCACCTAAATATTATGATGTATGTTTATGCAATACGCAAAGACTTTTAACGGGACATTTCAATATGGTAATCGAAAAATGGTCATGAGATTCATTCAGGAAAAATAAAAATAGTGTTACATGATTTTCGTGAAAAAACCACCAGCCATAAAAAGTAGAGCTTGTGGAATGTTTGGTAGAGTCGTTTAGGAGATTTGGTAGTGTCGTTAAAAATGGAACATACGAGAATGCTTCTACGCTGGTGAAATAAAAAAAATTGTGCTCTAATTTATTAAACAAAACAAAAACGTCTTTCAGAGTCATTGTTACTGAAGAAAGACATTACTTTTATCATTGAGAATGACGTTGGCTGACTGCAAAATCTGGCTCATTGAAATATTATATTTTGCAATGCGTCACGCTTATTGGAAAAGTTTTTAGTATTTTCTAATCTGATTGATTTCTTAAACTTATTGCAATCAGCTTATATGCTAATTAAGCTAATTAAGAAATGCGTAAATAATTATTCGATCAGACTGAATCTGCTTTGGCTTATTGTAACTATTATATATTTTAATAAGACTATTTATAATAAGTCACCACTACTATGGGCTTATTGCAAGCAGCTTGAAATAAATAAGGTTAATTGCGCAAATTAGCCTATAAGTATAAGGACTGATTAGCCTACAAGTATAAGGATATTTTCAAATTAGCCTATAAGTATAAGGACTATAATAAGGCTGATTAGAAAAGGATGGAAACTTTTCCCATCTGCCTGGCGGATTGCAAAATGACAGTGGCTATATCCACAGAACTGGAACATTCAATAAATAGTGTTATAACATTTATAAAGGCAAATGAAAGACATACTTGTCTTTACTTTTTTTTTTTTGGTTAAGAGCGAATTTTCTTCACTTTGTCCACATTAATTCGCACATTTTAGTAACTTGAGGTGTTCCTCTGGAATAGTTACAATTGCATTTTTGAGAGCGAAATTTTACAGCAAATTAAGTTTAACAACTAGTTTTTATTTATTTTTATTTTGTTCTTTGTATTGGAAATATCTTTTTTCCTTCCCTTTGCGGACAATTTCTAGAAATGGATGTCGACAGTTTTGGAAACGAAAAACCTAAATTAAAAATTTTCTTCACCCATAAATGCTCGACCAGAAATTTTGAGAAGATGCAAAAAATGCTTCTGCGAAAAAAGTGGTAGTGCAATGAAGTGGAATGTGGTAGTACAATGAAGTAATTAAATGAAGTGGACATTCTCTTGTGTTACCTCCCACTTTAGAATTTTTTCTTTTAAAGAAAAGGATCTCCCAGTAACGTCAGATATAAATGTTAATATTTTTTTTATGAAGTGTTAAAATTATATTATGGTAATCAGAACTATTTTGTTTCTATAAAGTAAATATAACACGCATGACTTTTTTGCAAAAATATTATTCAACTGATGAAAGAAACATTTGACACAATTGGAATGAGATTTTATTTCTTTCCATAAAACAATCGTAGTAAAAATTGCTCGCATTACATCTACCCTTTGTTTATATGTATAGTTATGTTCATTTTGAACCTTAGGTGAATTTTGTCTTAATAATGCATCAAATTTAGATGACAAAATAAAAAACTTTTTTGCACTAAGTATGAAGGAAATTAGTTTGTTTGCTCTCAATTATAAGACATGACCATACATGAAAATTTACATTTTTAGATTTTTTTTAAAGATTATAGTATGTCGAAAACAGTTAATGACGCATTTACTCCATTATGTGTTTTGAAATATTGAATGCCATATACCCTTATTAGATATTTGACTTGCAGGATGACGCAGGATAAATCTATCTCAGATTTGTGAAGTTTGAAACAGTGCTTCGAACGTCATTGGGTAGTTTACTTCAGTTTTTATCTCAATGGATTTTAAGTGGCAATTTTTGAAAGTGTTCGATTAGGCTTAAACAATGAAACTGACAAATTTCGGAACATTTATTATTTACATTTATTTATTATTGAAAACAAAACTAAGTTTTGGAAAAACTGCCGATAGGCATACTCGGAATGTTCACGATGTCCTTGATATTGTGCAAAATGCTATGAAAGTGATTGAAACCGCCCATAGTTTAGGCTTAAATAACGATTTTTGGTTGAATAGAGATGTGCATGACAAACTGTTTCAAAGTAAACTTTTAAATTTGATACCTGTCTTCATAAAAATTTCTAAAAATGCTCGAATTAAGAGATGTTTGCAGGATTTGTGGTATCTGAAAGAAAATCTACATTTTCGGGATTTTGAAGATTCATGGGCATGGAAAAGTAAGTACCGAATATTTCATTTTAAAATACTTTTGATCTGAATACATATATATATATATTAAGTTATACAATATTACAATATCAGAAAGCACTCTTTTTTGCGGATATAATCGTGTGGGCTGATGAAAAGATTATATCGTTTATTTTCCAGTTTTTAAAAAAAAATTTCATCCTTTTTTTCTTCTTTTATTTCTAAAATCAGTTGTTTGTTATATATATATATATATATATATATGAGATATATATATATGTTTATTGGGATGTCTTTTTATTGTATTTTCTGCCATTAAACCCACATTCTGCCAATTCCATATTTTGCATTTATGGATTACTTTTCCAATATTTCTTTAAAGTGACTTCTAAATTTCTTTAAGCATGGGAGATGACCTGGACCGTCGATTCTTGCCAAGAAAATGGATTCAAAACAATCATTCAAATCCATATAACAACTTTTTTTCAATAAAAAAATTACATCTTTTTAGTAAATACTAAGTCATTAAAATAAATTTGCATCCAAATAAATGACATGTAATTCGTTAAACTTATTAGAAATGTGCTATAGTATAAATTCTTAAAGCGTAACAGCACGACTGAGATATATATATATATATATATATGAGATATATATATATGTTTATTGGGATGTCTTTTTATTGTATTTTCTGCCATTAAACCCACATTCTGCCAATTCCATATTTTGCATTTATGGATTACTTTTCCAATATTTCTTTAAAGTGACTTCTAAATTTCTTTAAGCATGGGAGATGACCTGGACCGTCGATTCTTGCCAAGAAAATGGATTCAAAACAATCATTCAAATCCATATAACAACTTTTTTTCAATAAAAAAATTACATCTTTTTAGTAAATACTAAGTCATTAAAATAAATTTGCATCCAAATAAATGACATGTAATTCGTTAAACTTATTAGAAATGTGCTATAGTATAAATTCTTAAAGCGTAACAGCACGACTGAGATATATATATATATATATATATGAGATATATATATATGTTTATTGGGATGTCTTTTTATTGTATTTTCTGCCATTAAACCCACATTCTGCCAATTCCATATTTTGCATTTATGGATTACTTTTCCAATATTTCTTTAAAGTGACTTCTAAATTTCTTTAAGCATGGGAGATGACCTGGACCGTCGATTCTTGCCAAGAAAATGGATTCAAAACAATCATTCAAATCCATATAACAACTTTTTTTCAATAAAAAAATTACATCTTTTTAGTAAATACTAAGTCATTAAAATAAATTTGCATCCAAATAAATGACATGTAATTCGTTAAACTTATTAGAAATGTGCTATAGTATAAATTCTTAAAGCGTAACAGCACGACTGAGATATATATATATATATATATATGAGATATATATATATGTTTATTGGGATGTCTTTTTATTGTATTTTCTGCCATTAAACCCACATTCTGCCAATTCCATATTTTGCATTTATGGATTACTTTTCCAATATTTCTTTAAAGTGACTTCTAAATTTCTTTAAGCATGGGAGATGACCTGGACCGTCGATTCTTGCCAAGAAAATGGATTCAAAACAATCATTCAAATCCATATAACAACTTTTTTTCAATAAAAAAATTACATCTTTTTAGTAAATACTAAGTCATTAAAATAAATTTGCATCCAAATAAATGACATGTAATTCGTTAAACTTATTAGAAATGTGCTATAGTATAAATTCTTAAAGCGTAACAGCACGACTGAGATATATATATATATATATATATGAGATATATATATATGTTTATTGGGATGTCTTTTTATTGTATTTTCTGCCATTAAACCCACATTCTGCCAATTCCATATTTTGCATTTATGGATTACTTTTCCAATATTTCTTTAANAAGCATATATATATATACTTGTGGTTAGGATGGTGACCCTGTTAGTTGCGCATAAATAAAGATAAATATTTGTCAGAAAAATAACATTTACAAATCATATTGTCATAACTTTAACAACTACATGAAATTTTTTTTCTTCTGAAGCTTGGTGTTCAACATAATACTGTATCGACTTGTGACAAATCAAATTGGAACTATCAGGAGCTAATTTGAAACTAGTAATGAAAGTCCAATTTGTTTCTCCCCCCCTAATATGAGCTATATATTTTTTTTTCTCAACCATTTTACGGAGATGGGATATCGTTGTACCTTTTATATGTTTTTTTCAGGCGCCTTAATTACAAGCAAATATATTTGATATTTTTTAATTATAAGAAAAAATCGCTAAACTGTCTAATAGTTTCTAAAAAATTGTTATATTATTGGAATTATATTTGTACTAAAATATAACATTAAAAAAATTATTTTGAAATTTTTTTTCATTCGCATTCAAATATTTGTCAATAATTTGCAAATTAAAGAAATTTCAATGATGAATAACTGTTTCTCTTAGATATCTAAATACAAATAAATGTAAATTTAGAAAATTATTGTTTTAAAGTGAGCCATATTTTGAAAATTTTATCTTTAACCCAAAGAGAGACACCGGTGAGCCATACGGTATTTAATAATCATAAATTATTAAAATGCTAAATATAATGTTTTTCACTTATTTCGATCTAAATTTAATACAAAATAAGGAAAGAAAATGTTCGGTGTCAAAGGGTAAATGAAACATTAACATGGGTTGTTTTTGAATCAAACTATAAAATTATAGTTTGGTTTAACAGAACTATAAGTGTTTTAAATCACTATTTTTCATTAAATAAATACATCACAAAAAAATTAAGCAACTCTCTTACTCTTTTAGGTCTATTTGTAGAATTTTAATTAGTGAAAAGGTTTCAATTCAAAATTTTAACTAATATTAAAACTAAAGTCAGATTTTTTATACTACTTTTTAATGTTAATAATGAACTAAGTTTAACACAGTTTAACAGAGTGGATTTTTATTCACTGAGATATCATCAGAGAAAGCGAAGACCCTACCCTTCACGAATCTTAATTTTTGTATGTTTCCAAAGAAAAAAAGAACATTTTTAAAATGGTATTTACTCAAATGTTTGCTGAAAATAATTTAATTAGTTAATAAAACATAAGCAAACGTAGTATTTTTGTTTTAGACCTTTTAGAAATCTACTTTAGATTCGGACCTTAAAATATAAGACAACTTGCATCGTCAACCAAACGTTGATAAAATTTCAATGGAAACATTCATTGAAAGTATTTCATTTCACAAAATTATTCATGCAAGCTTTTTAAGGCCTTTTTTATTGGAGCACAAATAGGACAATAGTTGCACAATCATTAATAAATTAAGTTGGATTAGGAAAAGGTAATATTAGCTTGAAATTACATGTGGGTATATTTTATCTATGTTAGAACACAAAAATTCTTATATTCATATTTTCACTTAACTGTTTAAAAGAGTATTCTGTAAGCAGAATTAAATTAAATCATAATTAAAAGAGAAGCTCAGTTTAATTGGGTACTTGCAACTCGGGACGAAATGATGTGAGTATGCCTAGGAATGTGATTTAAACCAGATTTTAATTGGATACCTGTAAGTGACGTCAGACGCGTCTATTGAACCTGATTGGCTTCTGAATCAATTTACCAACTATGACGTCACTTGCAGGTATCCAATTATTCACAACTACGAGGAAAAAATAACTACTTAAAATCATTTGTTTAAATTTTTTTTCACTATTTCAATAAGGAAATTTACAGTAAAATATATTACAAAACTTCCATAAGTGTGTACTAATTTGTTGCGTCACTTGTAAAGTCATTTCTTAAGGAGAATTATCATTATAATTTAAAGAGAGTTAATTTAAAAGTTAAATGTAAGTATAAATGGTATGAAATTAAGGAGAGGAACTTAGGAACTTGATAAACTTAGTTTAGTGATTATAAGTTAGATTTGCTTTTATTAATGCAGTGTAAATCACTAATTATTTTTTGCCACGTTATGAGTTTTCTAATTGCGATCTCAGAAAAAAAAACTGCAGTTGAAGAATATTTTCAATTAATAAAATACTTGTTAACAAATAATAACTATCACAGGTTTGTTTTCATTAACACGACATTAACAATAAGAAATTCTTTAAGAATTCACTCACAAAAAAAAGGATGCTGTAAAACAATTATTTAAATATTTTCTCCCCAAAACTATAGTGTAACGTTAAAGCGTTTTAAGAGGATGTAATGTAAAATTATTAAAAAGAAATAATATCGAAGATAAAAATTCGTTAAAATTACTGAGGATGTTATATATAGAGGAGGTTTTCATTTTAGATCCGATTCCATTATCTAGTCAGTTTGATCTCAACGCAGAAGATAATTTAAATCCTGAGTGAAATATTGGGTGAATTGAATATCTGCAAGTGACGTCATCGTAGGTAAATCGTGATATTTGTCGATTCAGAAGCCAATCAGGTTCGACACACATGCGTGACGTCGCTTACAGGTATCCAAATAAATCTGATTTAAAGCACACGGTTAGGCATAATCACTTAACTTCTTCTCGTGCTAAAAGTACCCAATTCGCTGTTTGGGAAAATATTTTGAGCGGATTCAATCATATTTAAATCACTTAAAGGTAAAAAAAAGAAACAAAACCCACGGTCAGCTTGATTAACTTTGAGACTCTAAACCTAGATCTATCTATGTGTATATTTTATTTTACCTATAGCGGTCACATCAGCATAGAGAGCAACATTCAAATTCACTTAGCCTTTGCCAGAATTCGAATTACATTATTTTTTTAAAAGAAAGTTTTGTAGCATTTTATTTCATTTAATTGCTATAGAGTAATAATCTATCTCTGCAAGTGGATTCAAAATGCTAATGTTCCCACCCTGAAAGCTGTAATATTGAAAATCAAATTAAAAATAAAGCTGAACAAAAAATGAGAACTGAACAATTAAAGTAAGTATCATGTAGCCTTGCTTTTTTAGAGAGGATGTTTTGAGTAAAATCGTACATTCCAAGTTAAATCTTAAAATCTTTCACTGTTTTACAGCAATGGGACATATCCCACGACATGGGAATAGTTTCACTCTAACTTTGTTGCTGCAGAATGGTTGCATGCAATGAATAAATCAAATAGTCCTATTTTGGTGTTAAGATAAAAATCCGAATTCACTGGGGGGAAAAAACGTCACAAAATCTTCGGCATTACGGCAATAGGATATTATCCCACGACATGGTTTCACGTCAACTTTTTTGTTTGCAAAATGGTTGCATGCAGCGAATAAATCAACCAGTTTTTATTTAGTTATAGAGATAAAAATCCAAATTTATTTTAAAACCAAACATTGTTTTTCTACCGATTAATTACAGATTCCAATCGTTTCAATATGCATCGACACTTGTTTAGTAGCTGTAGCTACCTTTATGAATCAAAATTCCTTTGAGTTCATGCAGAGTTTAGCTCATTAAATTACTTAATCATAAATTTTATCAATAATTATCTACGCATTTTAGTGATAGATTCATTTGGAAAGCCGGAAAGTGGTTTCTTGGAAGGAAATCTTAAGTGGGTCGGAAATTTTGATGAATGTAGAAATGCATACGCCCCCAAGAAGAAAGGAAGCGATGCTGGTGGATATCATGGGCATTACTGCAACTTGAAACTCACCCTCATGGTAAAGGTTTAAATTTAAATCAAATTAAATTTCATTTATTTTTAAATATAATGAGAATTTGATTATGTTTGTCTTGATTCCAGGATACTTTACCAATGAGAATCGGCATTTGTTTACCAGAAACTTGCAATCCATCTGATTTTGAACCAATTTTGAATATTTCAAGTAAGTATATATTTTTTGTTCTTTTAACAAGAGACGTTCATGCAAATGTACAAATGATAATGTTTTTTTTAACTTTATTTTCTAGATTTAATCCCTCCATTTTATAAGCCAGACATCAAATTGAAAATTGAGTCTTTAACATGTAAAGGTCCACGAATTATTAGTAAAGTTGGAATCATAACAATGTAATTGTTCTAATTTATTATCTTGGTTCTTGTTTGGTTGAATGTGCGCAATTTTCTTTTTCGTTATTAAATTGTGTTGATACATTATTTTTAATACTTATTATCTTTTTTTAAATTTTTTTTAAAATCTTTTATTATTAAACGAAAAAGATCTTATAATATAATAAATCTCATAAAAATTTAAATCGTTGTTTTATAAATAATCAAATGTTATTTGAAAATAGTTTCCTTATGATGTGTGATGCTTTAATATATGGATAATTCAACTCCATTTATATGCATTATTTGGCATTATATAAACTTAGTAACGTTTACTACAATGTAAAAACTTATCTCTACACTAAAATGGTGGTAACTACTTTACAGCAGAGTGGTGAAGTGGATCTGTGGTAGCTAAGGGTATAGAGCGGTTGCCTCCCAATGAGGTGCCCCGGGTTCGAATTTCAGCGATGGCTGGTCGATACGAATTTCGCTACGAGCTCGCACCAACCACAGTACTGAAGTAAAAAGTCGTCAGGTGTAGACGGATCACAGTTAGAGTCCCCTTACCGTTTGGCTAACTGTGTGAGGTTTTCGTGGTTTTCTTCACCATGTAACGTAAATGCGAGTTAGTCCTTTCAAAAAGTCCTTCGCGAGGTTCAAATTTCTCCCAACACTTGATCCAGGAGTTCCCTTGTCTTTTTGATTTGATTCAAAATTATAAGGTTACCGAGTAGAACATTGGTAGTCGTAAACTCATAATTGGGTCGGCTGCTCAACAACGGTTATAAAATGAAATAAAGCGGTGAAGTGAAATGCCACACATAGCTCTTTCGGACCGAGGTGTTTCACTTCATTAAAAATGTTCTTTTACACAACTTGGTGTAAAGTAGTCGGCACCATTTTTGTTATTCAGTAAAACTAATTACAGTAAGATATGATACACATAAGAGTCTGTAAAGTTATTTTTTCGATGCAATATAAAGCAAGAATCATTCATTTAGGGGATGCATGCATTACATCTTTCTTAAAATAAAATTAGTAGTGAACCAAACATACAGTTTCAACAAAAAGAATATTAATCTGAATTCGAAAAAGGCTTAACAAAACGAAAGCTGATAGAAATGAAATATTACAAAATGCTTTTAATACAATTGACAGATTTATGTACATCTTGTTACAAAAAAAAATTATATTTATTTTACAACTAAAAACATAAATATTTTCTTATAACAATTTACTTCCGTAGAATTTGGAGCATCGTGCGAGACAAAATCACCTTCTCGATTATAAACTAAAATTATCGATCGTCTGACTTTTTAAAAAACTAATGCCAAGATTGGCGTCTAGTAAAAGCATTTAAGTTAAAAGCATTTGTTTGAAATAGAGCACAATTTTTAGAGTTTTTCAGCACCAAATCAGGATTGGCATTACACCATTTTTTACAGTATAATAAGTACAATATTGGCTTATTTAAATTTCACAATGTACCGCAGGATATTGTGAAATACACGTAAAGACATTATACATGTAAAATAAAATTTCATATCATTTATACCCCATAATACAGGATGCTTCAAAGAAACATGGTCAACATAAAACAGCAAGTTAGGCCTATAAAAAGGATAAAGAATCACACAGAAACATAGGTACATTGTATTGTACAAACATATTGTATAGGGTCGCAAACGCTATCCGAAGCCACTAGAAAAAGTTGCTAAATTATACGTAATATACAACATCAATAACCAAAAATCATTTTACATCATTTTATTTTTATTGTAATTCCACAAAGGTACGCATTTATGTCTAATTCAAGTGCAAGAGATGCTCAGAGGTTTGGTTTGATGCTGCAATGCACTGTCCACCATTTGAGCATAGCATATCCTTCTTGTATTAGTGGTAGTAAATGTATAACATGTGTGGTATTGCAGTAAAATGAAATAGTGGTAAATGGTTTTAGTTTACTGTCTTTGCATACATTTGTCATATACTGCCATTGCATGCATTTGTCATATAGCGTATAAATTGTAATGCTATATATAGTGTATGCGATTCCATGTTCCTATGTGATTTTTTATTCTTTTGGTGTGCATGGTTTATTCTTTAATTTCGCAAATGATTTTTTTAAGCACTCTGCATACACCAGGTGGTTGCAAAAGTGCATTCCCGTTTAGAAACGTAATGAAATAGCATTAAAAAAATTATTATTATTATTTTTTTTTCTTCAATCAAGTATTTCCCCCCCATTTTTTGTAATAGTAAGTCTCTCAACGTTTCCCCTCTTTTTTTGTATAGATATTGTATGCTTTATCAGAGAAAACCATAAAGACGGTTTTTATTTCTATTACATAATGAATTTTTTGCCATTTAATTTTTCTTCAGATAACTGATTATACGAAAACCTGCCTTGATTAGGTTATGTAAAGTTGGAAGGTTTTTCTTTTTAACACCCTAAATATTTTCTTTTTAACACCCTAAATATTTTCTTTTTAACACCCTAAATGTTTACTAAATATTACTAAATAACACCCGGTTGAGAGACATGTGATGGACATACTAATTTACTCCCGACTGTTCGCTTATGACTATAGCCTAGATACTGAAGTCCTTTATTGTTAATTTGAATAAAATATATGCATCAATGAAATAAAATAGTTATTTAATAGCTACGACATGACTTTTTTTTTAGTAATACGCCATTTTTCCGATGTAATTACGCTTTTGTGACTTAAAATTGCTATAGAAACAAACAAAATATTACTGATAGAATAAATCAATGTTCTTACCTTTCTTCCACTGCTTTTAACATAATTCACTTACTAATTTAAACACAATTATAATAAACATAATTAAATTATTTAGTTTTAATTCATGTATAATAAACTAAATTTAACTTCGTTCTAAAAGAAAATGTTTGTAATCGTTAAAGGTATTTTACGATTCGCAATTACCTACATAATTGCCGAATACTTGATGATTGTCGTTAAATGTCAAACCCTAAGGATATAAATTATGTTATTTCAGTTTTGATGAAGTAGTGTTGATAAGGTCTTTGCAATTGAATATTTTAATTATATCTTTTGAAAGCCATATTTTGTTTTTTACCTGAATTATTTGTCATTAATTTTCTTATAACTAAGCAGGGAAATGAAAGAACTATAAGTTTCATTCTTTTTTGGAGTAATAATTACTATGCATTATTTTCTTTATTGTTAAAATTTTGCATTTTACTTTTTAGAAGCATCATATCAGTGTTTATCCTTTTGGCCATTTTGGGCAGTACTGTGACAGCATATAAAAATTATAACAATGCGAAACCCAAGGAAGATCTAAGGCGATATGAAGGCGATTTGAAAAGTGTAGCTGTTAATTTTGATTCAGAAAAATTAACTTATGGAATCCCAAAGGTTCTCTTTGTTTTTAATGATGAAATACCTTCGACAATTTTGGGTAAGATTCTTTCATTCCTTTTCAAATTAGTATCTAAATTTGATTTTGTATTGTTTAATCTTTATTTTTACGTGCAGCATTGTCGGATTTCCAAAAAATGATTGATAATTGGAAAAAAAAAACTGTAAAAAACGCAAAGAGATAGAAATGTACGGTTTGTTCCGTTCTGCTTCGAAAACTAGAAATTTATTATCATATAATTTCAAAATTGGAATACATTTAGTCAACAGATGGCACGGCTGATTTAAAAAAATTATGTAAGATTATTTTCTGCTACATATCAGACTATTACAACTGAAATATTTGACGGATGGTTGTAGATTTGTCATTAAAATGTGCCATGCTACGAATAGTAGTAAATTTGAAAGTACTGTTTTATAACTATTGTCAGTTGCACCATTTGTTTTTTAACTGCTAATTACTTTTAAAACTATAAGAATGAACACCTGGTTTTTGAAACATATCGCTGCCAACTATACTTTTCTATCTTTTTTCATTTTTCTTTTCTTTTCTTCTTTTTTAAATTTTTAGTTATTTTAGGACACTTGGAATATGCAGATATTATGTTTTTAATGTTTTGCTTTTATAAAAAAAGCTAAGAAATGTAAATCATTGAAAAGTTTTATATGAAATATTTTACGTACTTTAAATACACACATAATTTTTTAAAATTTTTGTTATTCAAACTTTTTTACAATAAAAATAGAACGTTGAACAAAACTGTTAACGATTTCTTTTTCATTAAGCAGGTATAAATATCTTTTTTTTGAAACATTAGATTATATATATTTATGTAAATCTTAAAATATCTGATAGGTAAAAATAATTTTTTCGTCTGTTTTTATGTACTAAAATTTGCACTAGAACACATGTAAATTCTGCAGCATTAAAATTTGAATTTACATTTGAAAGTAAAGAAAGATACCTCAGTAAAAAATATTGATTTAAATATTCATAAGCAAGATTTATTTAATAAAAAAATAAAATCATAGGAAAATAAACAAACCGTGCTAGATTTATACATAATAAATTTATATATCTGTAAAATAAATGTATAAATTATTGAATGCACATTTTTCGTGCAGGAGAAAAATAAATAATCAATAAATCGGCATCAATCAAAACTACGAAATCGTGCACGAAACTGAACAACCTGCACCAACAATTTTTTTTAAAATGTTCTAATTTGTTTATTATTTGTTGCTTTTCCTGATGCCTTTAAGTTATTAAATTAAACAAAGCTAAATAGCTAAAATATAACAATTTTATTTTTTAAAATTAATTATTAGTAAGTTTATTTAAATTTAAAACAATTGTTTGCCTTATTTTATTTTGTTATTGCGATACATTATTCAGAGAAAAGGAAAAAACAAACTTATTTTTTAGCAAAATTACAGTGTAGACGTAAAATATGCTAGAATGACTTGTGATCTTATAAACAACAATGATTTTACAAATATCTTTAAACACCATCAATTATATGATACACCTAATGATTTGTTTTTTTCCTTCCTATTTTTTTTTTTAAAAAAATATAAAAGCACAAAATAATTTTTTTCTGCAATGATAATTAAAAAGTCAATTCGATACTTCATATTAAATACATACAATTTCTGGAAGACTGTATGCATAAAAATGCACTATAAATTTCTTATAATCTCTTCCTTTAAAAAATAAAAAAAAATTAAAGCTTGCAATTAATTGAAATAAAAGATTAATTTTAGATTTCAAAACATAATTTTTTTAAAATGATTATCATTTAAAAAATCTGAATGATGAAGCATCTTATAAAATGATCTGTCAAAAATGAAGGACTAATCAGTCGATAAGTTACATCATACGAATCTAATTTAAAATCGATCCAGTAGTGACGATTTCCTTTGTTGTTCTTACTGATGCCATTTGCCAACCAGCAAGCTTAAGTGAAATCAAGCAAATTTTGGAGGCAGATGGTGCGTTTCTTGTTTTTTCAGTGGTGCCCTCTATGGCCAAGAATTCGATTAAGCCACGCACACGTCATAGCCCGTTTTATAGCTCAATCATACTCCATTCATTCATTCACAGACCTTAATTTTGACCAGACAATCAATCTCCAATTCAGTATCTCCATAGGTTTTGTTTTGTTATGGGAAGTTGGTGAACTTTGCGACCCCTACAGATTTAACTTGCCCTAGTCACCATTTAAAACACAGGAATTCTTCGGCGGGCGGGATTTGAACTCCCGTTCTCATGAACGCGAGTCCAGCGTCCTACCAACCAAGCTATCCTGGCCCTACTATTTCCATTAAAAAAATGACACAAAACTTATGTTTTTATTGAATGGAAATTTTAAAAGGACAATTTCTTAAAGTTTTAGTTCATCATTATTATTTTTTAAAAAATTAAACTATTTAAATTTTTTTCTTGTAATAAACGAAAAAACTTGTAAATATATATTCCGACTAATAGTTATTTAAGTAAAGTTTATTAGGATAATCTTTAGTTGAAAATTTTGACCAGTAAGCTGCAAAATACAGTTTCGGAATTGGTTCAAATCCCAGCGCTGGCTGGTTGATCTGAATTATGCTCCCGGCTCGCATCGACTACAGCGACGACGTAAAATAGGCTCAGTGGTAGACGAATCATGCGTTGGAATCCTATTGCCATCGAGTTTACCGTGGTAGGTTTTCGTGGTTTTCTTCTTCAAGTAAGAATGTAGTAGTGAAGCCAAGTAAACTCAGAATGAGGTCGGCTGTTCAACGCCGGTTAATGAAAAAAAATAAAATATTTAAATTTTAGCGCAGTAATATATAAGTATAATTTTTATCAGTTGGTTCATCGGATTGGCGGTATTTGATCGTTTAACCCAATCGAGTTAATACGTCCAGGCTCAAATGCGTTAGAAGAATATCTTATTGGTTGGTGTCTAAATCTGATAGTAATTCAGTATTAAAACATGTATTAGAGCAAAAATGAACTTTTTCCACATAATTTTCTTTATTCTTATCACTATATTAAATTTTTTACCTCAATGTAGAGTGTTTAATAAATATAAATAAGCTTAAATCATAAATTTATATTGTTTGTTAAATACATTTATACACAAATACATAAAACAAGGTGACCGCAAAACAATATGGTCCGTAAAAAATTTATAACATCAACGATAATTTATATTCATTTTATAAATTTCAGTGATAATTAAATTTTCCGCGTCGTTTCTATTTTGATAACGTTAAAAATTGCGTCATGACAGTAGATAATCAAACGTTTTTGTAATGTTTTTTTAAAGCGTTCTAGGCAACATTAANAAAACTGATCAGATATCAGCAGAAATTCTTGATGTCACCATAGATCCAGTCTTATTTCAGATCATTGTCCAAAATATGTTTCATGCTCCGTGTGCATCACCATACATGTCTGTTTGAAAATGCACTAATGATATCCTAGAGAATTAACTGCTTTTTTTCACCATTAAATAAAATTTGCATTTCAAATCATAATCGCAAATGTCATTTACACACTTAAACACTTAAATACAAAATTCAAATTCAAATTGAAAGCGTTGCAACGCACGCAGGGTACAGCTAGTTTAATAAATATAAATAAGCTTAAATCATAAATTTATATTGCTTGTTAAATACATTTATACACAAATACATAAAACAAGGTGACCGCAAAACAATGTGGTCCGTAAACAATTTATAACATCAACGATAATTTATATTCATTTTATAAATTTCAGTGATAATTTAAATTTTCCGAGTCGTTTCTATCTTGGTAACGTTAAAGATTGCGTCATAGCAGTAGAAAAGCAAACGTTTTTGTAATGTTTTTTTAAAGCGTTCTAGGCAACATTAATTAAAGGTTCCTGTAAAGATATTTCTATATTCGAGGAAATAAATAGACTTCCCGGGATTTTTTTACATTATTCTATAACTTACGTGTACCTTTACAATCATTAAATTAAACCTTCTAGGTCCAGAGCGCGTATTTTCAAGACAAGATTCGTTTAAGATAAGAAGAAACGCTGAAACAGTTGTTGTAAAACCTCTTTATTACTGCATTGGTCGAAAATTTGAAGGTAATTACAGATGAAATAATTATTTATGAAGTGCTTTATGATATATTTTTATAATTTTTAGCAGTCAATAACGTAACTTTTGAAATACAGGGTTATTTATAATTCCCTCCGCCTGTAAACGCCATTTTTCTTTCCTACAACTGGCTTCAGTGGTATATGTTACTGCCATCTACCGGTAACAGCTTAAATTAAAACTTGAATGCTTTCGGAATAATTTCATATGTTCTTTTTTGCCATATTCGTCTTGGTTTTTTTATTATAACGCTTCGAAACCCAGGAGGGAATTATGAATAACCCTGTATAATGATAGTTTTAAAATTTTTATATTTGTTTATTAAATTCTTTTTCATGGGTATTAAACAGCATCAGTTCGTGACCTCTTTCTATAGTCAAGTTGGTGATACTAGGTACCTTTATTTGATAAATTTTAATTTTAAATTCATTTTCGTGAAGGAAAATAAATAATACAATTAAATGAAATAAATTAATTAAAAATTTATTAATTAAAATTTTTAGGGGTTTATTCAAAATTGAGACATGCATTAAATAAAAATTTGTTTCGGCTGGAGTTAAGATTTCTAGAACTCGTCTCTACAGGGAATAATTTTTAAACACCATCTTTATTAAATCAAGTTTAAAAATAGTTGGGGAGAGAAGATGTAACGAAAGTTACACCGTCTCTCCCCAACTTTTTTCACAGTAATAACTTCAATGAAGAACTTAAAAACTCAGCAAAGGCAATTTCTTCGAATACCATCTATGATCGCATGACTGCCAATACTGCCGTGCAATCGAAAAGCTAATTATTGCAATTTTTTTCCGAAAACAATTTTGTTTAATCAATTTTTTGAAATTATACTTTGGCGTTCATGGCATTAACAATGGAAAAAAAAGTTGTCAAGCCATTTCAGGGTGCGTAGCTAAATCTCTCAACAAAAAATAAGTACCTTTTAAGTACTTTTTAAGCACTCAAAAAACATTTTTACGCATTATATACTTTAACAAAATGCAAAATAATTTTCAAAAACTTTATATGATCATGATAAAATAACTAGTTTCTGACAAAGAACTGTTTTCTTGATCATATTAGCCGTTATAAAATGATCAAGAGATTTTTCGATTCGATATCAGAGGGTGGAAAATGACGCCTGAAGTAGATAATATCTTGCAAAATACAGCAGTTGCACATGAGTGTACCTGTACAACCATTTGTGCATGATTTTTTTTGAAACTTTAAATGACATTATTTCTAACTGCATGTAAGTTTTCATTTAATCATCTGGGTTTGTTTCTATATAGAAAGAGTAAAAAAATCTCGATTAAATGTGATGGGACATTAAAGCAGAGAGTTGCAAAAGCAGAGAGTTGCAGTTATACTTAAAATTAAAGCTTTTCTTAGTAATCTTTCATTTCATTTTCTTAAATTCTCAATTTTAATGACATTTCTTCTTATTAAACAAACTATTTACTAATAGGTTTAATCTCCAAATGTGACGCATTTTTGAATTGTTTCTGTGTTTTCACAAATGGATCAAAATTACTGAACGCAAATGTTGAAGACGGACAATTATCATGCATTCATGGCATTCGATTTCTAAGTATAACATGGGTTATCCTTGGCCATTTATATTTATCAATTCTTCTAACGGCAAGTAAGTATAAAATATATTCAATTTTTACTCACCACTCAATTTTTATCTTTATAACAACTGCTGCTCAATTTCCATTTTTACTAATTTGATATAAATCCTATCTCTGCATTCTATTATATTCATTCCAAAAAGAAATTAATTCAGGAAATTTTTTTATATACATGAAATCATTACATGTGTTAAACTTAGCGAATTAAAACCATGGGTTTAGAAGAGTAATTTGAGTGCCTGCCAACTATGTATTTTAATTTGTCAACTCTTAACTTTGCTAAGGAATCAGGCACAAAAACGTACATTCTTTTTATAAACATGACTTTATTTTGACGGATAGGGTTTTTTCAACCGTCAAAATATGGGAATATGGTATACTGTGCCACAATCTGGTATACGGCGGGATGGACTGACATGAAGTCTAGCTTCTTTGATTGTGCGCCGTAACATAACATGTAGCAAGAAAACGAGAGCAAGGTATAAAACAGTTTTACACAAATACACATTCACAAGGAGTAAACTCCCTTCCCAACTTGGACTGAGGGGATACCTTATGCATAAAAAAAGAGGAAAATCCGTCTTATCGAAATAAAGCAGCTTATGTTATTAGCCAGAATAACCACCATGTTTGTATATAACTTGGAATATGCGATGTCATTTGGCAACTGAAAATGGTGACATCAATATGGCACGATGTATCAATAATGACAACCTTCAAATCTATCCTAGACTAAAACTGCCTGCCATTGGCAAATAAAGCCTTACTAAGGATAGAGGAATGGGTTGCCATTCCATGACATACATCTCATTGTCCGAAAATCATACCAGTGTAGTTCTTTTCAGCAGAATTAGAGGCACCGTTCTTGAAATCTAACTTCATCTATTGATTCTTTGTGACCATGAGTTTCTAGCACTTTTTGGTAATTGGTAGACTTTGCACAATCTAGGGGAAAATCCATGTTAAGTTTATCACCAGGGTCGAAAATTTCTCATTAGTGATCCTTCATTAAAATCATTAATGAACCTTCTTTCTGCCAATCAGATTATCTTTCGTTGTTTTTTTCACCTACTGTCTTCTTTTTTTTACATCGTAAAAGCAACTTGTAAGATGAAACAATGGGACAGCCCACATTGGAAGCTGTCTACAGTCAAAGGAGAATAAGAAAGGAAGGAATTTTGGATGAAACAGTTGATCTTGAATCTTATTAGCATGGCATGAGATAAGAAAAGAATTTCTTCTGCAATGTACAACAATGTTGAGGCACATTGATGGTATGGGAAGAATTCTGCTATGATAGTAAGTTTAACATGGTTATCAAGCATCAATGAATTCTAAAAATCCATTTACTACCGGTTTCAGAGAGAATGGGTGGTCAAAGTTGGATTTTCATGGGTGCTATTGCTAAGTTGGACGTCTTTTACGTTGCATTGCTAAGTTGGACGCCATTTACGTTGCAAATGGTTTTTGAATTATTGAGTGCACGCCATTAAGGTTGCCTTTTCCCCTGATCTCAATCTCCAAGAAAAAGTAATGCGTTTTAACTATTCTGGTTATCATCTTTGAAAACCGGGATAATATTGACACAACTGATCTCTAAAGATTAGTAATGATAGTAAACAACATCATACATTCTAAATTATAAACAATCATGCTGGATATATCTTCTATTAACTGTAGTAGCTTTATTTCGGCAGAGTAAATTCCCCCCTACCTATTTACATACTCGATTTCTCATCTTGTTTAAATGAGGCTAGAAGTGAGTTACCCCTTGTAAATATGTATTTGCACTGCATACACTTTCTTAGTATAATTGTTTTGATCTCATCTGCTTTTTTTGTGCCTAATTATGACACACAATGTAGTAATATTTCAGTGGGACGCACATTATCTCCAAAACGTTTGAGGAGAATTAAAAACTTTTTGCACACAGTTATAAAATTATTTTACCTAAAAATAATTAAAAGCAAAGTATAATTTCATTAATTATACTTTTTATTATTTTATTTAATAATGGGTTGATTATTTTTTTAATTATAAGGTGTACAAATCCTTACATTATTTTAAATTTTGTAATTTAAATGAAAAAATACAAAACTTGAAAAATCAATCGAATAGTTCTTGAGAGTTCTATTTTGCAGATTTTGAACTAAGAAATTATTTGTTTGTTTTTGTTCAATGCTTTATTTTGTCATTTAAAATTGCATAGATTGAAATGAAGTAAAAGTTAGAATTCAACCTTCTAACCTTTTCCTGAATCCAACCTTTTCAAACTTTTTTGGCCAATATGAAATAAAATAATATAATATTTACAAAATAATATGATATTTACCAAAAAGTATTTTTTTGCGTGTGAAATCATATTTAGATTAAAAAAAATGTAAAATTGTGTGCAAATTTTTTTTGATTCGCTTGAAAAGTTCTGGTGACATGGGGAAACACACAAAAAAAATGAAACAAACTTTCGTCCACCTCTATCGGGCCTATATTTTCCAGATTGTGGTAACCCCATTGAGAAACAAATGCTTACTTATTCAGAGAAAGTAGGTTTTTGTATCTGATTTTGATTTGAATGCTTAACAGATCTTAACAGTTAACTTAATAGTTCTGATCTTAAGCGATAACTGTTTGTTAGATTGACCACTTAGTTCGTGAAACTACAACCATTAAAAAAAAGTTATTCAGTGTAATATCTTTTTGTTTTGATTCTCCAACATTCTTAACTCAAAGCTTCTATTTAGAAAATCTATACTGCCCAGTTCATCACATACATTGCATTGAAATTAACTAAACACAACAAGCACAATATACTTCATAACATCATTTGTAATATTTTTTTAGTACATTTGTACTTCATAAGTTCAACAAGTATTTACTACCTTTTTTATTATTTTTCATAAATTATTGCCTATAGTAAATCACTAGATATACCCTTTATTAACCTGTAATATGTCTATTATTTACATTGCTTTATTATTATTTTTTAAGGAACTTACAAGGATATTTTACCGCGTATTGACAATTTATTTTTTCAAGTCGTACTTAACGCTTGGTATTCTGTAGACTCCTTCTTCGTATTAAGGTAAGAATTATTTTTTTTTACACACGAAAGAAATAAAATTCAGTAAAATGATATGTGTTTTCAAGCTTTTTGATTAGTTTATTTTCTGCTTTTTTTAAAGTTTATTTGTTTAATTTTCAGTGTGCTGAAAATAATTACAACAAAAACATCAACATCGCATAATTTTTTGTTTAGTAAACTGATTTTTGTGTTCGAAAATGCAGTTTTAACTACTTAAAGGGTTGGTCCAAGATATGCTCATTAACTGAGTTACAGAATTAGTTTGAAAATGAATTTAAAAATTTATTTTTTCGAATAAACTTACTTTATTTGTCATCCGCTTTTAATTTTTGTAAATAAATAGTTTTTAAAATATTACTAAAAATACGTAATAAAAGATGAAATCTTATAGTTGTTAGGAAAACGAAGCATTACAGCTCATATCATAGATAATCGGTGGTTAAAAAATGATTAGTTTTGAATTGAGATGTTAGAAATAGGGCTATAGCAGCGTTTTGCCAATAATAATGATTACTCAGTATTTAGAAACAAATTTTTTTTGTTGATAGCAGCGTTTTGCCAATAATAATGATTACTCAGTATTTGGAAACAGATTTTTTTTGTTAATTGAAGCATCATTTCCAAAAATCTGAAATTTTTTTTCAAAAGAAAAAAAAATTGCCGTCTCACTTTTAGAATTTTTGTCATCAAGAACAATTCCGATTGCGTTTTGTTATTTTGCGAACTAGTTATAGCAAAAAAATAGGATAAAATGAGTTTCTAATTCTACTGAACGTTATAAAATATCTTCTAATTCATCTGGTATTTTGTATTGTGAATTGGTATTTTGATTGTATTGAATGCAAGGAAATATTTTGTTTCTTTTTTTTTTTAGTATTCTACGTATTTTACGACCAATACTATTTATAAGTTTACCTCTGAAAATAATTAGTCAGCCCTAAGGATATCATGAAAAATAAAATTTAATTCTCAATATTTTCGCCTCGGAACTTAAGAAACCACCTGGATTTGGTTAGGAAGAGAATCTACTGTTCGGCCATCAGGAGAACTCCCTCAGTCACCTGACTCACGCGATGTTCATTACTGAAGTTACGAAGATTGAACGTATTCATTTTAAATAGGGGAATGAGTTTGGCCGTTTCACATTGATATTGGTTAAGAAAATTATGTGTGATTCGTTTTCAACTCTTCCCTATTAGAAATTGTTTTACTCTTGTTTCTATAGCAGCTGACAATCTCAGACTTTCAGTCGGGAGAAGTTCTCGTGAAAGCTGAACAGTACATGGTTTTGCAGGTACGTCGCAGTTAGCTTTTAAGCTACTCTCTTTGGATTTGATCATACGTATTCACCACATTGCGGGGTTGCTGATTTCAGCGATTGATTAGTTTTTTCAACACTCCCTTCAAATTTTTTACAAGATTAAAGTCAGGTGATTTTTTTTCTAAGCTAGACAAGATGGTATAAGGTGTGAAAGCTCCACCTTATTCTATTTCGAATATAAGACTACTAGTTCCAAATTCGTCTAGCCCGTTGAACTTTGCTGCTGTCACCTTAAAAAATAGGGATATTGGCAGTTTACTAAATATGAAAATGTTGATTGGAAGACAGCACCTGATAGTACAAACTTTTAAAATAAACATGTAGGTTCATGTTAGTCATCACCTGGCTACCAGAATCATTAGACCCAATCAATTATCAGAACAGACCTCCCAAATATCACAGACCAATCACCGACTTTCCTTGAAATCTCTGGGACTGACTAATTGCTTGTTAACGAATAAACTCAGTGAAGTTTCAAATTTTTTAGAAAGAATATGAAGTAAAATAAGCATAATTTTTTTCTCCAATCAATTACGTAAGCAAAAGATGACTCGAGTTTTTTTAGATTTCCGATTAGTTTTTTATTTGTGATCTTAGACAACTTAGTTTTATCGGTATAAAACGAATTTTTTTTAAAAATATAAGTTCAAAGTGTAACATCAATGTTTGTCCTCAAAAATGAATGAATAAAATATTCTAGTTTGGTCACTAATTGCAGAATTGGAAAATGTATTGCAAAGTACCTGAAATTAGTATATACTCGCCTTGGTTTTAGTTATCTTAAAAATTATAATGTGAGTAATTTTTTTAAAGAAAAAAATGTGATTTATCTTTCAAAAGAAATTATTTCAGTTTTCAATATTTTTTGTTCGGTATGTGATGTACTTTTTTTTCTTTTTAAGTGGATTTCTCATGTCTTATTTATACTTTCAAGAGCGCACTAAGAGAAGGAGTGAAATAGCTTGGATTAATTTCTACTTTCACCGTTTCTTAAGGTATGCATAGACTGACTTATTTGTGTCACAAAAAATGTACTAATTAATTACACTGTCGGGGCTACGTTGCTAAAAATTCCTGATCACATAACGGTAAAAAATACTAGCCTCTTGAGTTCACATTTGTAAACTCCATTTTTACTGTAAAAATTTATCCCGTAATCTTTGCAGTTATATTTATTTAATTAAAATGATTCACAGTATTTTACAGTAAATATTACCATATATAACAGTAATACATACATATGCAGGCATGCGGCAATACATGTAGACAGTAGATATTACAGTAAAAATTACGGTACATTAGATTTTTTGTTTCACAAAATTTCACGGTAAAAAGAGTGTAGAAAAAGTTAGATTTAAAATTAAATACAATATCTTACTTTTCTATTTCTACGAAATATAAAAATCGAAACAGAGATCTTTTTATGAAATATAATCTTACAGATAAGAATTTATTACTAAGTAAATACTATACTCCTAATTATTGTTCCCGTGACATTCTTAAATAATTCCTAAAATGTAAATAAATAAATAAAATAAAGTATGGATTACCTCTATATTACCCTAAGTTCTGGAATTATTAAGCGAAAATAAAGTAGTTACGTTACAGATATTTATTTTAAAATTTATTTCGTAGATTAACACCGATCTATGTGATTGTCCTGGCTTTTTTTGCTACCGTTTTACCTTTATTGGGATCAGGACCTTTTTGGTATTGGTTTGACTTTAAAGTTGAAGAACATTGCCAGAACACTTGGTGGCGGAACCTCCTTTATATCAGTAATTTTCAGGATTTACTTGACCAGGTAGTATGGTTTAATGATAAAGTTTCTATGATAATTTTTCATTATATTTCAAAAAGTTAAAATTTGTTTTGTACTGATAATTATTTCAGGATTCCTCCAAATTTAGAAAATAACTCTTATTTTCCCGAATAAATTTAATGCAGGCTAATAAAATGAATAAACAGCTTATTTGATTAAAAGCACTCAGCTTTGCGTCGAAAAATTTTTACTTTGAAGAGAAAAATAACCTATATTTTTGAACATTAATAATTTCTATGTCTATCGTGTTTTAAAAATGGTGTCACACATTTTTAATTCGAGAAGTAGTTCTGATTAAAAATTGGTCAAAAATATTGCTTATTGTGTAATAAAAACGTGTACTAAATTTTAATCTTGCAAAGAGCATTTTAAATTTGCACCACGAAACTTAGAATGAATGAAACTTATAAAACTAATAATGAAATTATGGAACTTATTACCAATAAACAAATAATAAAACTTATAATGACTTTTAATGAAAAGTGCTTTAACTTTTAAAATTGGAAAGATACTTTGGAATTTAATTTCACAAATTTGCTTCATTTATATCTTTTGTATTTAATGTCATTCTTTAAAATGTTGCCATATACTAGTTGTATTTTCAAGTTGTATTTTTTCTCTAAAAAGTAGCTAATTTTATATTTTTTTAAATAGAAACGTGTAACACAAAACGTAACGTGTAACGTAAGTTACACAAAATCGTCTCACGAAACTAAACGCGATCTTTTCTTGTCTGATTATTGATATTTAATAATTTAATTAGATTAAAAATATTTTAAATGTATGTTTAGTGCGATGTTTTTAAATTGAAATATTAATAAGATATTTCTTTGCAGTGCATGCCTTGGTCTTGGTATCTTGCTAATGAAATGCAATTCTTCATCCTCAGTCCCATATTTTTGATAACACTCTGGAGGTAAATTTACAAGGAACATTTTAAACTTGTACCACGAATGTATGGAAAACGACAAACGCTGTTCAACATTATACGTAGATAATGACTTGAAAATTATGAATAATAATATAGAAAGAATAATATGAAAAAATTTAATTGATAAAAACTGTCTACTAACTGCAAAAATATATATAATGCAATAAAAGGTTAACGCACACATTTATTTAATTAAAACATTTAAAAATTTGGTAATAACATACTCTTTTCTTCCGAGCTTATAGAAGTTCTGCATTTTATATTTTATTTTATAATCGTCGTTGAACAGCCGACCCAATTTTTTGGGTTTACAAGTTCTAATGTTCCACTCCGTAGCCTTGTAATTTTGAACCCACTCCAGAAGACAAGGGAACTCCTGGATCAAATATTGGGAGAAATTTGTTTTCATGGAGGACTTTTTGATGGATCTAACCCGCATTTGCGCTACATGGAGAGGAAGGTCACGAGAACCTCCACCTTTTAGCCTGATAACTCTTTATTTAATTATGATTCTTTTATCAATATATACAAAATAATTGAGTTAGAAAAAGAAACCATAGTAAAAAAGTTGAAAATTTAAAGAATAATAAAATACAATCTACGGGCTTTAGAAACTTAAGTGTCGTTCTGACTGAATCCTGTTTGATCATTCCGCTAAAAATGCACCAGTCAAATTCCTAATATCAAAGAGAATATTTCATAAGAATTTTTAATTTAATAAAAAAATTAAAATACAATTGGTGCAGCGTTAGACAAATTGTGCATTAAAATGAAAGTTTGCTTTCAAAAAATTTTAATTCATCACAAAATCACGTGTTTATAACAAAAAGAGATGGACGGAATATCATCTTCTTCTTCTCATTGGCACGACAGCCCAGGATGGGCCTTGGCCTTCTCAACAAGCCTATGCCAAGACATTCATCACTTTTCTCAAATATTATCACTATCAGGAATATCATCACTCTTCTCAAAAGGTCGCACAGTGGAATGATAGTTAAACACGGTTCCCAGTAGATCACCAAAGTCCCCCATCACTGAAAGTGGTCAGTGAAAGGGAAGGCGATCATTGATCAAACCGTGAAGGCCCGAGGGTGCTCTTGATCGGTTCTCGTTTTACTGTTCTACCGTAAAGTGCTTGACATCGCGCGCAGCTTGTCGGGCCACCAAAGCGGGATAGCCATCCTCTCTGCTGCGGATCAAAATTGCAAAGGCATATCTTCGGATCATACTTAGGGATATTTCCCAGACCATCACCAACAGCCTATTATGAATCTCTAATGCGCTGTAAATAAAGTACTACTACTACCACTACTACCTGCCTACTTACTACTACTATTACTGCCACTACTACTACAGCTACAGCTTATCTATAGATAAAACCTGACAATTTTTCCCCCTGTTTTCGAACGGCAGTCTCAGAACGTCTTGGAGCGAACTCCAGAAAATCCATGTTCGGGACGTTACTTACAAGAAAACGAAAAATGCGAGTACGATAATTCGAAGTTAGACTGTATTTTAGGTTATGGGCAGATTTTGAAGGTGTCATTCATTAAAACAAAGCCACTGAAATAATAATAATTTTCCGCGCCGACCGGCCTGTGTAGGGGGCAGGGAACTGTCCTAGCATCAGAAAGGTCCTGGGTTCGAATCCCGGGCAAGGCATGGATGTTTCTTTCTCTCTCTCTGTGTTCTATGTCCTTTCTCCTTTGTGTGTGAATGCGACCCGCCCTATAAACGGGTTGTGGTTGCGTGAATGGCGTGGCAGAAGTCGAATTCCTGGCCATAGATGGCGCCACTGAAAAACAGGAACAATCGCACCTCCACTGCCTGAAACAAGCATACGACAAAATAAAATCATTTTCTATTTAAATTATAATTTTTAACTTCTAAAAATTACGATAAAAAATACTAAAAATGTCCGACTTACTTTTAATTAATGTTTTATTATCTTTAGGTGGCCAAAAACGGGTTATTCAGTTTTAGTTCTATTTTTATGCTGTTCCTGGATATCAGGGTTCGTGATTACTTACTATTATGGATTAACTGCTGGTTCCATTAGCAATCCCAAAGACATAGCAAAAGATCCTGCTGGATATGTTTATAAGTGAGTCCAATAACTTAATGAGAGCAAGCGATGAACCACTGAGGAGTATCCGTTACTGTCACGTGAAAAAACCAAAAACCCAAATGGATAGAGGTACTAAATCAATTTTATAGACAACGTGTGAAGCAAAATTGTAAAAACTGCTTGGAAGAGCGGTAATGCAGGCGTCAAACCTGTGACGTAATGAATTGCACACGTCATTTAAGGTAGTTCTGAAAATAGGCTTAGTCTGCTTTTTTCTGAAAATGGCGCTAAACGTCAATGCGGTGAAAAGTCAAAGTTTTATAGAAATGAAACGCATTTGTGGTCTAATTGTTTAATATGTAAAAAATTACTCCAATGCTGGGTTATGTGGGCTCATAAAAATTTGCAAAAACTGAGAATAAGGAAGAGATTTAGAAAATTTTCATCTACGTAGTTTTTAAATTTTCATCACTTTGAAAAATATCGCCAAAATGGCGATTTTTACATAAGTTTAATAATTTTTAAAATATTTAAGTTATTTATCAGTCCTAAAGCGCTCAGATAATTATTCACGGCAATATGATATGTAGTTTAAAATCATCGTTTTGGTTTAACTGTGGCTCTTTTATTTTTCTTGGCAACAGCGCTTTGGAAAACCATGTCTAGTCAAGACACATTAATAAGCGTTCTAGTGGTACAACGCTTGCTCTCCGTCTATGTATTCTATGGTAAAAATTCCTTGTTTAGAGGCTTTCCATCCCCCTATAAGTTTCGAAACACCCTGCATGAATGTTTGTTTGTAGGAAAGGAATAAAAAAAAATGCAAACATCATTAATGTAATCTTTTAAATATTTTTAAGAAAAAGAATCGTCTAAAGTTTAATACCTAACTATAATACTAATGTTAAACCGATGAGAAAAAAATCCTTTTTCAAAAGTTTCTTCCAACTTTCCTAATTAAACTATTTCGACGACATTTATGATCGATGCTTAAAGGTCTCCTTTGCACCTGTTGTTCAAACGTCAAGTCCTTAGGTCAAGATTTATTTTATATTTTCTAACCGGCTTAGAACTGCTGATCATATTTTGAGTTTACGACAACCAATGTTTAACGCCGTACCCTAGTAATTTTGAACCCGATCCAGAAGACAAGGGTACTCCTGGATCAAGTATTGGGTGAAATTTGCCATCGTGGAAGACTATTTGTTGGAACTAACCCACATTTGCGTTACATGAAGAGGAAAACCCCGAAAACCGCCCAAGGTTAGCCTGATGGCAAGGGGACTCTAACCCATGATCTGTCTATCATTGAGGATATTTTACGTCAGTACAATGGTCAGTGTGACCCAGGTGCGGCATTCGTGTCGATCAGCCATCGTTGGGATTTGAATGTGGCTCTCCTCATTGGAAGGCGAACGCTCTATCCCCTGAGCCACCACGACTCTTAGGCATAGATTTTATTATTTTAATTTTATAACTGTCGTTGAACAACCGACACAATTTTGAGTTTGCGACTACCAATGTTCTACTCCGTAGCCTCTTCCTTCCTCTATATACGCCGTAAAAGCCAAAATATGGTAAATCCTAGGTTTTACCGGTAAAACAAAGATTCACCAAAGTGGCTTGGTAAATATGCGAAGTATGCTTAGATATGATTTCATTTCGGCCTTTTACCAAGCTTATGGGGTGCAGCCTATTTACCTTTGCGTTAATATCTAGGTGTTACTGCAACGGCTTTGCAAAGGGCCAAAATGGAAGCATATTAAAGTGTTCAAGGCATATTGGTAAATACAAAGTTTTATCGGTAAAACCTAGGATTTTCAAACTTATCAGATTTATTATACCTATAAATTTAACCTAAAAATTAGGCACATTTTTAAGTTTACTAATTAGTATTTAAATGAGAACGTACACAAATGTTTCTAAACTATGAATTCAGTGAAAGAAAAGAAGGTGGTAAAACTATCTACAACCTATCTATCTATAATTATTACAATCTATATAATCACATGTTCAGAAGAGCGATTTTTTCCGTAAAATACCATGATTTCCATACAAACAATAAGGTTTTCAGCTGATTTAATCCCCGGTGGCGGTGCTATGCCCATCTTGTTCCAGATCCATAAGTACAAGTTACTATGGGGGAAAAAAGGCTGCCTATATGCAAGACTGACCCCACCACTATTCTCATACCATTGGTCTCGAAATTGTGGTACTGTCACGAGACTGCTTTGTTATAACCAGGCTAGAGGGCGAATGCAATCGAGTTAAATTTAAAAAAAAAGGAAAAACAAAAAGAAAAACAACAGTAGCAACTTGCATTTGATTTTTATTGCTGCTTCATTTTTTCTGACCTTAATAACATTTGGAACCTTTAATAAATTTGAGATCTCTAATTATAATTAAAATATTTTTATTTCATTTTTTAAATAACTGCAAAAATGTATGTTAAGGGTAACAATTACGAGATACCCTACATGAATTAAAAAATTTTGATATATTGTATTCATACTTCTCCAGCTGGAAAACATTCATGGATAAAATTTACATAAAGCCATACATAAGGATTGCACCATACATCATCGGAATAGGTCTTGGTCATATCATGTTTAAGAGAAGAAATGCAAGTTTTAAAATCAACAGAGTAAGTGCTTCATTTGTAATTTTTCTATTTACTTTTTTTTGTCAAAAAAAAACTAAATAAAATTAATTAATTGTTATTTTGTTCACGTGGTAGATTATTGAAAAAAAATGGTTGTATTGTTTTACTTAACTCTCAATTAACTATTTATGTAAATATTAAATGAAATATACCAAGAAAAATAACGTGTCCCTATTTTGATTTAGTGTAGATGACAATAACGTTTATCGTATTTATATATGTATATGTACATTATCATTCAATTTTCCGCCGATTTATCATGCATCTGAAAAAGCTCGTATAATATTTTTCAGTGCTATGTAATAAACCAATAATTTCGCACAATAACTTTGGTTTCAGTATAATAAAATCCTTTAGCTTCAAATGCATGTTTTCAACGAGTTATAACTTTCAAAGTACTGCATTTATAAAACTTTTACGATAAACCAATAATTTCGCTCAATAACTTTGGCTTCAATATCATAAAATCCTTTAGCTTCAAATGCATGTTTTCAACGAGTTACAACTTTCAAAGTACTGCATTTATAAAACTTTTACGATAAACCAATAATTTCGCACAGTAACTTTGGTTTCAATATAATAATATCCTCTAGCTTTAAATGCATGTTATCAACGAGTTACAACTTTCAAAGTACTGCATTTACAAAACTTTTATGATAAACCAATAATTTCGCTCAATAACTTTGGTTTCAATATAACAAAATCCTTTAGCTTCAAATGCATGTTTTCAACAAGTTACAACTTTCAAAGTACTGCATTTATAAAACTTTTACGATAAACCAATAATTTCGCACAATAACTTTGGTTTCAATATAATAATATCCTTTAGCTTCAAATGCATGTTTTCAACGAGTTACAGCTTTCAGAGTATTGCATTTATAAAACTTTTCTTTTTCACAACTAAAAAATTGCCTAATAGTCTTTTTGACAATAGTGGAAGTATGTATTGGTTCATATACAAGATGTGTTGTAATGAAAATTCCCAATAAATGAAAAAAAGGGAATATAATATGACGATTAATTACAAAACAGAGAAAATTGTCATCGCATTAATGCAATCACTGGTTATTTATTGCTTAAATGTTTATTAATTTTTTATTCTTTGTTTCTGGATAGACTTTCATAAACACCTCCCTATTTCAAGTCATGGATTACAAAAACCACATCAATTGATATTTGTTCTCCTGTCGTCAGTAGGGCTGGATTGGTTTTCAATTTCAGGCAATATACGTCTCTTGAAGATGCCACAAAATTTCCTTCTTTCTTCGAAATTCATATTTATGCAGAAATCACCACCAAGACAGTAATGGTTAATAAGTTCATCATAAAAAACTAAATAAATTCTTTAAACTAATATTTTATAAAAGCATTAAAAATGCACGCTGGTGGAAATAAAAAGAAAAAACTCTGTCTGGGAAACAATCAACTTCAAGAAGTTTCAAAATTATCGTCTGTTTTTTTTCATTGATCTTATGCTGCTTTTTTTAATTAATGCTTATGATAGCCTGTTTTTTTATGACTCTTACAACTCTTTATTTGTAATTCTACTGTTGAAGTGGATCGTGTCGAGAAGTGTATGGACATTAAAAACTTAGGACTTCACCCCTTTTCCTACTGGGCAACATTTAGAATTCTTGTTAAAAACGAAGTTAAAATGGTATAACAATACTTTACATTAAGGATCACAAATTAATATTTAACTAATGAAAATCAAAAAAGCTATTAGAATCTCACAATTAAGGAAGATCGGTGTAAATACATAAAAACCTGTTTCATTGTCTGATGATATTTGAAGAGGAGGCGTTTCTAACCATCACCATTCAACTCCTTTCTTTATTCTTAAGCAATCAAACAGGTTGCAATGTTTTTTACATCCACCCTCCTCAACTGTAACTCCTTTGATTTCGATTGATTTGATTTTTCTCTTCTTTACATAATAATTTGCGATCCTTAAAAATAAATATTAAGGGCAGTTATTACAGAATGCCCTATATGTACACCAAGGAAAATTTTAGAATTTATTGACTGATATTCTACATACTTCAACTTTCGCTTATTACCTTTCAGATTTATTTATGGCTTGGTTGGTTAATTGCAGTTCTAGTTGCATTATTCTGCGTTTATGGCTTATATGGACAAACTTTAGGAATAGTAGGAGCAAGTTTCTATAACGCTTTAAGCCGAACAGCTTGGGCTTTAAGTGTGGCTTGGGTGATTTTTGCATGCTTATCTGGAAGAGGAGGTCTGTATTGATTTTACATCATGCTGAAAAATTTTGTAAAGTTAAAAATCTAAAGTTTTAAAATTGTGCATCTGACAAATTTATTATATTAAACATAAGTTACAAATTAGCTAAGGATCTTTATAAAAATATGATAAAGAAGGTTATCGAAAACGGAAAACATTGAATTGAACATTGATTAAACATTACATTGTAAACATCGTTTGAATGTTAGAATACTACTACCAATAAGACAAGTGAATATACGTAAAACTCTATATATACCACAAATAGACAAATTGAAATAATTTATGGTAAGTATAATTTATAACAGTTTTCACAAAGTTATATTACATTCATTGTATATCTTAGAACTTGATTTTCGCGAATAACGTGGGGAAATAGAAATAAATAACTAATGAATCGAAAATTATAAAATTTAAAAAGACAGTTTTCGAGACAATCAGGCTTTCGTAAGAAAATGCTAGAATAATTTTAAAATTCAAAACAGTATATTTAAGTTAATTAAATTAGTTAAAGTTTAAAAGTTTATGGTAAATGAAATACTGCTGTTAAACGGAAAGTTTGAATCGCGTTTGGCACTGTTAAAAATTTTTTTTTTTTTAAATTGAGTAAAAAAAGTGTCAAAATAGCTCTGAAACAAATGTAGTCAAATATGAAAATACATGTGCTCATTATTGAAAATAGTAAGACACTTAAAAATGGGGTTTTAAAAATTCAAATTTGTTTCGGGGTTATTTGGTTACATTTTTGCTCAATTTTGCGAAATCCTTTTACAGTGCTGGTTCTTCCTCACGGACTCGCCGCTTTACCCCTCATTACTGATTAACCCCATACAATGTATTAAAAAATGACTATGCATTTAAAGTGCAAAACAAAAGACATAAACACTCTGACATTGATTTATATCGTAAAGTGGATTGAAAAAAATGCGACATTGCACACTTAAAGTGCAAATCGGTGGAATAAAAGACAAACAGATAAACCAGATAAGAAATTGCCTTTTTCTTTACTGTTATAAACATCAAAACTAAAAACTTATTTTTAATGTTTCTATAGATTTTCTGCTACCTTCATTTTAAAAAATTCTTTCCAATTTGTAACATCTTCTAACATTTTATATTATTTGATAACCCAATAAATTAAAGTATTAATATGTTACTTAAACATATTATACAAAATATATAATATAAATGTATATTCACATCTAAATAAGAACAAATATTCTGGTTTTTTCTATTTAATTGGCAATTTTAATTTTGTTTTTCACAGAGCATCTATTTTTAATATGCAGAAATATGCCCTTTACCCGCGTCTCCACCTTAACTTTTCTTTTTGAGGAAATTATCAGTCAAAAATCCCTATTCTTTGATCTTTAAAACTTGATTTAGTTGTTTGTACACCGAAGAGCCATTACATTATGACCACCCTCCATCTATAACAATAGGCTAGCCCAGGTTTTCATGGTTTCTCGCCCAGGAACAATGTTTTCAAGGAACACATTAGGACCCATAATCCTCATAGAACAATCCCTGACGTCTGTAAGCTACTTGAACATGGTTGCAGACAAGGTTCACCCGTTCATGGCAACAGTTCTTCCTGCGGAGGATGGTGTTTACCAACAGGATAATGCACCATATCATAAGGGTCGAATCGCCGAGGAACATTCCAGTGACTTTCAAGTCATGTCTTGGCCCCCAAATTCACCTGACCTTAATCCAATAGAGCATTTGTGGTCCTACTTGGAAAACCAAATTCGTGCTGCCACGCTACCTCCTCGCAATGTGAGGGTATTGCAGGATCAGTTGGTGAGCGCTTGGTAGCAGATACCTCAGACTACCTATCAGCACCTCGTGGAATCAATGCCACGGCTGGTGCTAGCAGTTTTGAGGGCTAAAGGTGGTCCTACATGTTATTATCAGGGTGGTCATAATGTAATGGCTCTTCGGTGTATTTATAACTGGCTATCTAATGGAATGAATATCGTTCTATAGTCATTCAACAGTTTTTCTCAATAATTAGGCAGAAAGAAAATGAAAAAAATAGTTTGAGATATATTTAGACAAATCATTATATTTTAAAAAATATTGAAGAGATAAGTACATCAAATTTTAAGGTGTGCAGTATGACTGCTAATTTCTTTTTGTGTTTTGCGATCCTCGTCTTAACTGCATGTCATTATTATAACAAACAGACGTTATTCCTAACGATTTTTAGTTTTATTTGATAGGTAAACTAGTTTATATAATTTTAATTGCAAATTTTCTGTGATTCATCTCTATCATAATTCGCAATATTTGGAAAACATTCTTATATTTCATACTTTAATATTGATTTGTGAAGTTAATTTTCAGAATGTATATATTAAGGACATCTGCCGAACTGCCTGTGTAGGGGTCAGGGAACTGGTCTCGTATCAGAAAGGTTCTGAGTTCGAATCCCGGGCAAGGCATGGATGTCCTTTCCTTCTCTGTACTCTCTGTCCTTACTATGGGAGCAACGTTGGACCACCTAATATGGTGCCCCTGAAAGGGTGGCCGAAAAATCTGCCCTTCAGATACCTGTATGAGGAAAGGTCATTCTCTAGTTGGGCATTGGAGCAAAATATTAAGGACAGTGATTACAAAACACATTTAAACATAAATATTTTGGTTTGTCTAATAATTTTATTGATAAATGTACATTAAAAGTAGAAGATAAATTTGTTTGTTTATCTTTTTTAGGAGTTGTAGATAAGATTCTGTCTTGTAGAATTTTCATCCCTTTGAGTCGGATAACTTTTTGTGCATATCTCATCCATCCACTTTTTATTGGTTCTTATATGTTTACTTTACGAACTCCTCTAGCTTTTTCGCACCCAACAATGGTGAGTGTTTCCATATACATTTACTAACATAGTTTGAGGGCCGGGATAGCCTGGTTGGTAGGGCACTGGGCCCATATCCAAGTGGTCATGGATTTGATCCCTGTCGGCCGAAGACTCCCCGTGTAGTAAATGGTGACTGATGCACGTTAAATCTGTCGAGTCTCAAAGTCCTCCATATTCCCATAACAAATCAATACCTCTGGGGGTACTGAATTGAAGATTGATCGTTCTCTGATTCAGGTCAAAATTACGATCTGTGGAAGAATGAATGTATGTATGAATGGGCTACCCTATAAACGGGTGCGACGTATGGTGTAGCGGAAGTCGAATTCTTGGCCATAGATGGCTCCACTGGAAAACAAGAACAATCGCACCCCCTCTGCCTTAATGGTATACGTCAGCAGCAACAACAACATAGTTTGAAAATATTTATTTTATAAAATTGTTATATTGATGGGAGATGGAATTATATTCCGACGCATTATCTTTCAATGTAACCAATGCATTTTAAAATACCAATTGAAGGCTTAATTTAAGTGATATAACGATAAGTCACATTTTCAAATTGCTCAGAAGAACGTTTTTTTTCTTCTTTTTTTTGCAAAAAGCGCAACAATTTAAATGTGAGCTGTTGTTGTTCATTTACGTCGCACTTGAGCTGCACAATGGGCCATTGGCGACGGTCTGGGAAACATCCCTGAGGATGATCCGAAGACATGCCATCGCAATTTTGATCCTCTGCCGAGGGGATGGCACCACCGCTTCGGTAGCCCGACGACCTGCACGCGAATTAAATGTGAGCAATAAGATATTAAGTAGCCATTGAGTTGCCATTAGGAAAGATTCTATCACTGATGTCGGTTCAAAGTTCACCCAGTTTTAGATAGATATCAGCCAAGCTGGAAAGCTAAGGTGGCCAGTTTGTATTCCTGAACATATTGTCACCAGCATGCCATTGTCTTGAAATTGTGAAATCTTAAACTTCAATTCTTCACCGACTGACAGCTTGCTTTGCGGGATGTTTTACTTTAATGAGATGCTTTCTCATATTATTCTAATATCTGATTGACTAACATTCGCATATTAGTATCAATTGTTCAGGAGAGTGTTATTTTAAAACACAACAATTTCAATGTGAGCAATAACATGTAATGTAGCCAATGTATGCAGTAGTAAAATCATTGAGCTGCCATTAGGAAAGATTCTATCACTGATGCTGGTTTAAAGTTCACACAGTTTTAGATGAATATCGGCCAAGCTGGAAAGCTAAGGTGGCCAATTTGTATTCCTGAACATATTGTCACCAGCATGCCATTGTCTTGAAATTGTGAAGTTAATTGTTTATTCGACTGACAGCTAGCTTTTGTGGAAGTGTTTTACTTCAATGAGATGCTTTCGCATATTGGTCTAATATCTAGTGGAAATTTTAAAAAAATTGCAAAGAATCTATCTGGAAATAATACCAAGGGATTATCTAATGTCGAAATATCACACTTGGAAAAAATATGTTTTTTTTTAAAATATTGCTCCAATATTTTTAATAATAGTAAATTCCTTTTTTATTGTCTTTTATTTTAAGTAGGTATGCACAACAACTCTGAGCAATCATTGTCTCATTACAATAATTAAAATTTGATTCAGAATCTAACCTAGTTTAAAGCAAAAGCGATATTAAATCAATAATATCAAACATCAGAACAGCAATTAATTGCAATATTAATTGTTATTTTTATTATTTAACTAATAATTGGCGATTTATCACATAAAAAGTCAAAAATACGAAAAAGTAATGAAATGGAAATAAAAATAGTTTCTGTAGGGACTGTTTTGTTCGTTTGCGTTGTTGTAATGGTACAAAGAATACACTTAAGCAATAGTGGCCATTTTAACCCATTCTCGCTTCCCAATACACAGAGTTGGTTGATAAATAATACAAGTAGTTTATGAAAGTCCTTCGTGAGGTTTATTAGAAGTCGTGAATAATTATATTTTTTTCGTCTACCTTCTCAAGCATCCTTTTACCTACAACTTGCAAGATTTTTTCAGTTCTAATGCGTTTTGTACATGAACCATTGAAGTTGCCAATGTGCGGCGGCCTCTGTATTGCCTGACAAGGAAAGTGCGGCTACCACAATATAAAGCTTCGTAACTCAACCAGGACTTCGGCGTACACGCTTTTCAATCCGGTAAAAATTTCGGTGTATAAATATTTTTCCTAGTATAGAGCATCCATCTACGTCTACGGCCTCAGAGGTCCTTGGTTCGAACCCTGCCGGCAGCCGACAAGCATCTCTCTCTCCTGTTTTCCTCCACATTCGTGATTACGAACACTTGAATACGCAATGCAACATCTTCCTCATCGGCAGAGCTACACTACTTCACCTCGTTCCACGGTTTGCCTTGATTCGACAATTAATTCGTCTAAGTCTACAGCGTCAAGGCCCAAACTGCACTAGAATGGCGACTTCACTTACGGCCTCTCAGTGTCATGAAATGCTCACGACTATCAACGAGTCAGACGTTTTGCTTTTATGGAGGGGGAGTTTGTGGCGTCCAATATATAAAACTTCTAAACTCACTCTGGACTGAGTTTCCTAAGTGCTTAGATCAGTGTTTGCCAAACTTATGACTTTTGTGCACCCTTTCTAAATTTTTCGTAACACTGAGATAGCCAATAGAAAAATACGTAATCGTAAATTTTCATGGCTAGTTGTGTTTTTAAATAAAAATTTTTGAAATTTTCGTTTGTTGCAAGATATTTCGGATAAGAGCCCGTACCCCCGCTAAACTGTTCCCGTACCCTGGGGGTACGCGCACCACACTTTGGGAAACACTGGGTTAGATCATCCGAATATAACCCCAAAGGTCCATCGTTCGAATCCTGCTGACAGCCAACAAACATCTCTCTTATTCTCCTCCACAAAAGTGATAAACACCAACTTATGGAGCTTTTTTTAATGTGTGACGTTTTTTTTAAATTGAAGTTTCTTTATTTTTTTTATGTCTTACAAAAGAAACTAGGGAAATGTGACTCGCCAATTTTGAAATAAACTTGTGGGACGTATGCCTTATGAGGAATAATTTTAGGGGGCAACATTCGTTTCGGCCCATAGAAGGTCCTGTGAGAGATAAAAAATAATTCAATATATAGAAAAATCGGTATTTTATTACTTCAATGCAGACTATTAGTTATTGTAATTGTCTCATAATCCAATTAATTTGTAATTAATTGGATAATTAATTAATTTGCTAATTAATAAATTATTCAGAAAATTAATTAATCGTTTCGTAATTGCTAATTATTAATTAATTGTTAATGAATTATTAATTAATTAATTGATTTGCAATTACATACTCCAATTAATTTGGAAAGTTTTTTGAAAAAAAAAATTAAAAAAATTTGATGTCAATTTTTTTTTTTTAAATTAACCTAACAGGTTTTTCTGAAAAACTGCAGATACATAAAATTTTCAAAATCAATTTTAACAATAAATATGCATTATATAGTACGTGAAAGTAATTAATTATCCAATTAATTACAAATTAATTGGAGTATGAGACAATTACAATAACTAATAGTCTGCATTGAAGTAATAAAATACCGATTTTTCTGTATATTGAATTATTTTTTATCTCTCATAGGACCTTCTATGGGCCGAAACGAATGTTGCCCCCTAAAATTATTTCCCATAAGGTATACATCCCACTAATTTATTTCAAAATTGGCGAGTCACACTTCCCTAGTCTCCCTTGTTAGCTATATATTTATTGGCTTCATTTTTTTTTACAGGTTTTGTTGTTTTTGGGATTGATTATGCTGATTTTTACTTCCTCAATATTAGTATCACTGATATTTGAATCTCCGGTGATTAGAATGGAAAAAATGCTGAATAATAAGCTTCAATCACGATACAAATGTTCCTAAGTTATGCATTATCTTTCATCTTAATTATGATGAAGATACAATTAAAACTGTTATCTGATTTTATTTCGCTCAGACTTTAAAATCTGATGATGTACAAGTTCAACTCAAGATGAAAACAATCATAAACTGTACAAATTTATTCAAGCTAAGCTCAAATGGTTTTTAAGTCGTGTTTGATTAGATTTAAATAACTGATAAAGAACAAATTCAACTCAAGATGAAAACAATCATAAACTGTACAAATTTATTTAAGCTAACTCAAATGGTTTTTGGGTCGTGTTTGATAAGATTTAAATAACTGATAAAAAACGAATTCAACTCAAGATGAAAACAATCATAAACTGTACAACTTTATTCAAGCTAACTCAAATGGTTTTTAAGTCGTGTTTGATTAGATTTAAATAATTGATAAAGAACAATTCAACTCAAAATGAAAACAATCATAAACTGTACAAATTTATTCAAGCTAAGCTCAAATGGCTTTTAAGTCGTGTTTGATTAGATTTAAATAATTGATAAATAACAAATTCAACTCAAGATGAAAACAATCATAAACTGTACAAATTTATTCAAGCTAACTCAAATGGTTTTTAAGTCATGTTTGATTAGATTTAAATAACTGATAAAGAACTGATATTTATTTGTAAGCATAATGTAAAGGAAATAATCATAAAATGAACAAATTCTTTAGTTTTAAATAGGGTGTACGGACTATTCAAATGCTTGATTATTTAAATAATAACACTAAAAATGCATAAAAATACACAAATTTACTGTATAATCTGTGAAATAAATATCTTGATTAGTCTCCTGATAGTAAAACAGACAGTCTAACTGTAATTACTTAAAGTTTTTTTTAAATAAAGATCAATTACACCAATGAACATTTATTGAAAATCTTGAAATGTAAATAAAATGTAAAATTAGAAGAACTGTGAAATTTTCAATTGTTTTTATTGTTAAAAATTGGCTTCTTATTTCTAGCATATAAATAAAATTGATTTTTTAAGTAAGCATTTCTATAATTTGATTTATGAAATTATAGTTTTATATTTATTCAACTTAATTTATATGTTCTGGGGTATTTATTGCATCATACTTTTGTAGTGCATCTACCACTACAAAAATACAATTCCAATTCACTAGTATATAAGACATGTTAACTCGAGTCCATGTTGGGGTACCTTTCCATAGATGAAGGTTGACATTGTCTATGACAACCCTCATTGGTGACCTTCGGACGTGATGTGAACATGCCTGCCTTGACAGAAACGCCCACTACGATTTGAACACGCCTACTTCGATGGATGGTCCACATTGAAAAGTTGACTTCCTACTTGCGACTGCGACATTGTCTTCATCGCGCTGTTGCTGCTCAGTCTCGATCACACACAACGTACAATGTATACACTCGACTGCTAAAGGCAACTTAGGAGCGACCACTACCGTGAACTTAACATAGCTCTCACTATCAGTGCTCAAAAAGTACGGTGATCTTAATACGACTCTCCCGGTTTCTCACAAAACAGCAATGAATCAACTAGTGGTATCCGTTCATCAAATTTCATCCCAGATATAATTCTGGTGGGGGAGTACTGTAGTGTATCTACCACTACAAAAATACAATTCCAATTCACTGGTATATAAGACGCGTTAACTCGAGTCCATGATGAGATACTTTTTGATGGATGACGGTTGACATGGTCGATATTTAAATCCCCTCACTTTCAATGAGGTAGTTGTCTCGCAGTGGACTGATCGTTAAGACACGGTTCCCAGCAGATCACCGGAGTCAAGCATCACTGGCTACGGTCAGTGTGCGGGTGGGTGACCACTTGGATCAGTCTGCGTAGGGACCGAGGGTGCGCGGTATTGGTCCTCGTTAAAATGTGCTACCGTAAAGTGCTCGACTTCGCGCGCAGGTCGTCGGGCTACCGAAGCGGGGGTGCCATCCCCTCTGCAGAGGATCAAAGTTGTGATGGCATGTCTTCGGATCATCCTCCGGGATGTTTCCCAGACCGTCGCCAATAGCCCATTGTGCAACTCTAGTGCGACGTAAATTAACAACAACAACAACATCAACAAGGAATCTATAAACTAATGGCTTTTTTTTATAAATGTTTTTTTCTTATTTTAATTCAACAGTGGGGTGATGTGAGGGAATGACACATAGTAACATGAAAAAATTAATTTATTATTTTGTTGAAACCCAGTCTGAATGACACTTTTCGTAGTAAAAAATATGCATAAGTTATAAAATAAACATAAAGTAGACCAGGGATTTAAAAATGTCTTCTTTTTTGAGGATTACCTTTATACCGGATATCTTTTTACTAACGAATTCTTATTTGTTACTTGCGAATTCTAATCGATATTGATTTTTATCAATTAAAAAAAAACTATTTATAAGGAAACATGTGAAAAAATATTAATAATCTATGCAAATGATACGATTTAAAGTGATAATTAAAAAAATAATCATTTACTACAAGATTTTCATATTAAGTAAGAATATTTTATTACGACATAATTGTGACGCATGATATATATTTTTAAAAAAGAAGAAATTTAATTCAAAGCAGCCAAGGTGACTGATGTTTCTTTATTGTTTTCAGATTCAGAATTATATAGCAAATTTAGGATTAGGCAGCAGATTCTGAATTAGATAGCAGATTTAGAATGAGATAATGTTCTACAAAACATGCAATAATGTTATAGTTTCGCAATCACATTTATTGAGTGCAATAAAGTGCTTTGTATCTTTACTAGTGATTTACATTGCGATTACGTTTTACCGTAGTAATAATAAAATTCACACAATTCTGGATCAATTTAAGGTAAAAAGTACTAGCTCTCTGAGTCCAGCCGTTGTAAAACCCGTTTTTATCGTAAAATTTTATATGGTAATTTTGTACAGTAATATTTACTTAAAGTGATTTCAGTGATTTTACAGTAAATTCTACTGTATAAAAATTAAGGTACATCAAATGTTTTGTTCTGCAGAAATTTTAAGATGGAAAAGGATTTTACGGTGAAAAATACAGTAGCCTAAGTGCCAGTCCTATTTTTCCTTAATTTGATCTGGAATATTTTACAGTGCATAACAGTATGAAATCACGAAATCGTATACTTGCAGCTAACCTATAACAAAGTTGAATGTTTACTCTATAATTTAGCAGAGGAAGCACTAAATGGTAAAATGTTTTTCTCTGCATACAGCAATCCAGTTTGAAACTAATTTACAGATTTTAAAAGCTGTTTTTTGTACGCTTTTTTATAGCTTTTCTAATGAGTTTTAGTTTCATATTTGCCGCTGAAGAATCATGTGTTACCTAGACTGAGAAAAAAGTATGGTTAAAACTACCTGAATATGGTAAATTTTACCGTGTTTCTGGCTCTATGGGAATACCAAAAAGCTCAGTAATTTTGACCAAACGCTTCGGTAGTGATTTTGGCAAAACTATCAATAAAATATGGTTTTAAAATATGTGATAAAATTTGATAATTTTATCATGATATTTTTAGAGTTGTTTAAGATGGACAGAATACATGGACGAAGTTTATTCTTTAGAGTTGTTTTAGATGGACAGAATACTATGACGAGGTTTTTTCTTTAGAGTTGTTTTAGATGGACAGAATACATGGGCGAAGTTTATTCTTTAGAGTTGTTTTAGATGGACAGAATGCATGGACGAAGTTTATTCTTTAGAGTTGTTTTAGATGGACAGAATACATGGACGAAGTTTATTCTTTAGAGTTGTTTTAGATGGACAGAATACTATGACGAGGTTTATTCTTCAGAGTTGTTTTAGATGGACAGAATACATGGACGAAGTTTATTTCAAATTATACACCAGGATTGCTCCCAACTTAATAGAAATTGGTCTGGGTTAATTTTTTTTAAAAAGAAAACTAGCCAACATCGATGCCTGCTGAGTAAGTACAAGTAAATTAACTTCACGATTTTTTAATATGGAATGTTTTTTTTCAAAGACGAGACTTTTTTTTAATGTCACAAAACTTTCTAAAAATCAAGAGAAAAAAACCCCCCATTTAAAATTGAATTAATTTCATTATTTAAGCTCAGATTATATAAAAAAATCCAGCAATCATTATACCCAATGACAAAATTGAGTGAATATTTGAGAAAAATGGATAAATATTAAGGGAGTAAGACTTATAATTATATATAACGGGAATTTTGAGAAAAATCGTACGTCTGAAAATGCAAAGTAATCGCTGAATGGATAAAGTAATTTAATTAATAATTTTTTAATATTTTAATCTTACAAATAAATTAAACAAAACATGTTGTAAAAGAAAATTACATATAAATTCATTAAGTTTGGGTTAACCATATTAAAATGTAAATGGTGAAAAAAAATTAAAAATAAACAGCTCTAATGCATCACATAACTAAATGAAATAGTTTAATATTAGAATAACCCGTAATATTCATAGGTTTATTGCAGTTGAAAGTTGAATTTAAAATTAAAATACTGCTTAAATGCACATATGTACTGTTTACATTTTGTTTTGGCTTTTAACCTATTGGGAAAATTGGTGTTGTTTAAGGTTTTTCATATCATCACACAGTTTGACCAGATCCACTTTATGGACTTCAACACTATAATCACACATAAAGAGCTGTTTTGTCATAAATCTGGCTAACATAAGCATTGAAAAAAGCAGCACATGAAGATCAAATAAAAAAAATATTACGATAATTTTAGTACTTTTTGGAGTTGATTGTTTTCCAGACTGATTTTTTTCTTTTTATTTGTTTTACATAACGTAAATTTAAAGTATTTTTTATGTCTTTTTTATGATTAATTTACTCATAATTACTGTCTTATGTGGCTATTTTAATATAATCATAAATATTGGTTACAGGAATGTTTTTTTGTGACGTCTTAACAAGCGTTTATTGGCGGGAAAAAATCAATCCAACTTACTGAACAAGAAGACAAACATCAATTTATGCAGTTCTTGCAACCCGAATAGAATTATGGCGTACATAAAAATCTATCAAAATAAAGGTAAAAGAAAGAAAAAAACATTTGACTAACTTGTAACCAGATTGCAATAATGCAATTACAATTTTCTATATTTTGCAATTTTTTTATTTGTATTTTTTAT